GCCTTTCACATTGGTCCAATTGGTTGTGCAGAATTGCAGGCCTGACATGCGGCGCGGTCCGGGAAAACTAAAACACGCCCGGTGAGTGGCCGGGAGTGGAATCACGTGAGTCATGGCAATATTTGGCGGTGAGACATGATTGGGGAAGATTTCAATATAGGTTTTTCTTGGTGACGATCACTTCAAATTTAATCATCAAATCACTTTACAGAAAACAATAAATCACATCCTACCGTTGCTATATTTTTGCTGGATTGTTATCACAAGATTCCAGTCAGAATAGTGTCAGAATTCCTTTTGGACTCTCACAATACATATTCTATTCTACCTTTAGCCAAACAAAACTCCAGTATCACATAAGCCCTGCTTTGTACCCTGGTCTTCTGGATACATTACCTATCAAAAGTTCTAATACTCACGAGAATATATAGTTTTGAGACTTCATTACCCGATCTTTTATATCCTGGGTCTACCATTGGATCCTATTACTGAGACACAATACTGAGCTGAGACTCTTCAAAACGTCCGCTCCATATCTCAAATCCAATAACTCACCTGACATACCCATTCGCCATGTCAGCAACCAAACGCTCCTCCCCTCCCACAGAAGCAATGGACACCGAATCAACGCCCACCCGAAAAATCCTCGACGCCAAACTCCCCTCGAGAAAACGTACCGCTCTCGGCAAAACTTCCCCAAACACCACTCCACCATCTACAAACAAACCCAAATCCTCATCTCCCGCATCTTCCCAGGCCAACACATCATCCGAGGCCGAAGCTTCATCATCAGAACCCTCTTCCGAAGACGAATCCGAGGATGAGATTCCCATGATCCGTCCCCTAAATGCTCGTCCCGTCATGCGTGTATCTACACTTAACGGATTTGGTGCTTCAGAAGGTCTCAGCAATCTTCCTGATTTTCTGAAACAGATGAAAGAAGCAAATGAAGAATTAATGAAGAAGATTGAGAAAGGAGAAGATAGGAAGTTGGAGGATGTGAAAGAGGGAGAGAGTTATGTGGAGATGAACTTGGGACTGGGAGTTTTGGAAGAAACGAGGGACGGGGAAAGGGGAAGCGAAAGTGAGAGTGAAGTTGAGGAGCAAGATGCTGATGGCGATAGGAAGATGGGAGAGGGGAAGAAGGCCGGAATTGAGGAACTTTGAAGTACTAGGATACCACTTATTGCTTTGGTGTAATTAATAGGATACAAATTGAAATCATAAACATTCAAGATTGGAGTGCTATTTGATTGTCATATCCGATTAGTAGGTCAAATATTGCTATCTCACCTCAAACTGGGTATACAATTTACATCACTTATTAAGCAGAAGAATTGACTTTATCTTAACGGCTTTATTCTACAAAAAGACATACTGTTTGCACTGTCTTGAAGTCTATGCGCCCCAATCAACAGACATTGATCCCCTTGATCTGATCCAAAGATATGGCACAAACTCAGATTACCACCGCTAATATTATAACCAATGCCTGATCAGACTCTAAAAACCGTGCCACAATCCATGACTCTGCATATCCTACCCCCAATCCCTTTCCTACCCTTGGTATAATAAAAAATGCAAACCCCCCATAACACCAACGCTTGCCCTATTTTCCCTTCGTGAAACCATACCAATCCATAAAAATCCGCCCTCTCCTCATAATCATACAACATTAACCATCATTTCCCTACCGAAACGCCCCTTGTCATCACAGATTTTCTTCCTAAACATATCCAGATCCTTTAACAAATCGCCCATGAAACCTTGCATCTCGCTTGCTCTCTCCTCGCGTGCACCCATATCGATAGCTTCGTCTTCATCTGAAAACTCATGTTCGTAGCCATCTTCCTCATTAGTCGCTTCATCGATAGTTCTGTTCTCCTTATCGTGTCCAAATTCGCCCCCAGTACCAAGATCAATACTGCCCATACTAATAGTTCTAGCAGGTTCCACTTTGATTGGATTCTTCAAGCTCTCCAAAGCTAATTTGAGATGCAATCTTAAAGCGTCATTCTCAGTTGTCAAGCTTCGAATTTTACCTTCTGATATCATGGTTCTGTCTTCCATCATTCTTTGCATGATTGCTATTTTGTTCTGGTATTGTTCGAGTCTTTCGTCTTGTGCTTTAGTTTCTGTCTCTTTTCTTGTAGAGTCAGAATGGGAAACTTGAAGTTGCAAAACACGAATCTCCTCTGCCATGGCAGCAATTTGAGCATCACGTTCCGCAGCGGAAACGTGATCTTGGTTGACGACGGCACGCGTGCGAATACGTTTGGCTTGGTCGGCATAGCGAAGGGTAGAGAGAGTTTCGTCGTAATCGGAAGGGGAAATACACGCAATCATTGCGGTTTTACTATTCCCTCCTAATGAATCTTTGAGCAGCCAGGTAAGGATTGAATCCCTATAGGGAACGACATCTTTGTTGCGTTTTACGGTACGTTGTTGCTTTGGATCTGCGAGAGCTGCAATGACACGACCGAGAGTTGTCAGAGACTTGTTAATATTGCTTCCCTCACGTAGACGAGCACCTGTTGCTTCTGTTGCCTTTGCACGTTCACTACCTGCAAGATCCACGAGTCGAATCCTGGCAGTACGTTCTGTTGTTTCATCCGTCTCCATATCGTGGTGGATCTGCTTGAGCATGATGGTAAAAACACTATGACTTCTGCTACTTGTATCGTTCATCTTAGTACTTGCTGTGGTTCGACTGGCATCTCCCATCTTCATGTATCGCATAATTTCAGAGAGATTCTTAACAGGTACATCGGTCAAATCCTTGATATAGGGTCCTTCGGTGGGGGATTCACGAATCTTCAGATAATAGGGTGGTTGATTGGGGTGGAATGGAACAAGAAGGTCTCGGACATGTTCGTTATAAACTTCGAAATAAGATACACGGACATTATAGGAAATGTTTGGACTTTCATTATGTGCTGCCTCGATCCGCTCAAAAAGGTCTTCGCAGGTCCTTGGTATTAATCCTGGCTGATCCTCTGTACCCATCATTGTATAACTCTTTCCTGATCCAGTCTGGCCATATGCAAAGATGCATGTATGATATCCTTCGAAGTTATGGTCCAAAAATTCCTCCCCCAAACTATTATAAACATCCTCCTGGTGTGCATAGTGTTCATCAGATTGGTTGTGGCTCCAAAAGGAATTGTCGAATGTAAAGACTTTCTCTTCAATGACTCTGCGCATCTTCGAACGAGAGTTCGCAGGATCTGTATCGTTTGGTACTAGAAGGGTGGTTGCTTGTGTTATTGGATTCATATCAATCAGACACTTAGCTCCTCTATTAATTTCTATTTCGCCATCAGTAAAATATCCTGATTTCCTGTTCTACTTAGAATACTCACCTCTAGGAAGAAATCCTCTAACTCTAACCACAACTCTAACATTTCCACCCGCATCTCTGGCTGTAGATACAACACTATCTCTCCTCGACCGCAAAGAAGGAGTAGATGCAGTTGATACCATACCCATTCCCATGCCTGGCATCAATCGCGGAACGATAGCCATAGCAATTAATGTTTCGTTGATGTCAGCAATCTTTTTAGAAAATTGATGTTGTAAATGTAGGTACATGAAGGGTCTCTTGTAAATAAAGCAATGACGCGAAATTGTTGGCTAGGTGAAAGGCGGACCAGGGTTTTATGCAGGAGTTTCGCTTCGATGTTTGCTACTGTAGTTATTTATGGTGGTATATTGGGGTAACAAGTGGGTAACATTCAGTATTCAATGATCTATCGTCGCAAATCGATTTAATTTAAATGGATGAAGATTCAATTGATTATTTTGCGATTAGACAAATGAGAGAGAGAGAGAGGAAAGGTGAAGAGAGAATGGAATTTGGAGATCGCGCGCTTGTTTACATACTGTACATGGTACTGTGAAGCTCGCAGTTAGTCCCTAGATAGGTTAAGCACCGTGCCACCAACGCGCCACGCTCTGAAATCCTTCAAAAGCTTTCCCAATTGAGATTTCCGGTAATCATTATTATTGTTTGTGATGAGATCCAATTATTTTTTCCAGTGATAGCAAATATCGTTAGAGCTAGGTATATACTTCATTGCCGTCAATATCATTCAGAATTAGACTATCATACTAGTGCATAGTGCTAGTGCCTCGGTACTATCATAGCAACTAGATTTAGATAGGTTTATACTAAATTGTTTCTTAGTTAGCTCCTCAAGCAATATTAAAACAGTGTGAACACATAATGTCACGATACCCATGTTGATTTCAACAATTATAAAACACAATAACTTCATTGAAGAAATATAGCGAGAAGTCAAACTCTAAAAGGAGGGGCGAAATTCTAAAGCAGAGGTGGGGAACGGTAAAGGGAAGGGAGAAACTCTGAGGAATGTTTCTAATCAGAACTCTCTCAGGCAACAGCTCTCAAAATGGGAGGTATCATCTTTTCTACCGCTCTTGTGGAGGCTCCTATCAAGGGCGGAGGTGTTGAAATCCCCAGTTTTCACACAACCGAGAGAATAATGGACCCTCTGTGTATAGCTAAGATAGCCGAGACGATACATACAGGTCCAAATTAGTTTTCAATCAGATACATGGCAGTTCTTTACATCGGCGTAGCTAATAAACTAGGAAACAACCGCAGGCTCCAGCTTGATCTCTCGGTATCCGCTATCTTTGAGCTCCTAGATAAATACTGCGTTCTTGTTATTTCGGTATATAGAATTCTCGAGTAGCCGAGTAGATAATCGTTGCAAGCCTCCCTCGGATCGTAGTAACGATGCTTAAGGCGGGCAATCATCCAAATCTATGTTTTATTAGGCAGTTACGGGTGTTGTACATAGCGATACGAATCACAGACGGATAATGCAGGGTTTGTTTTTAGTTTAAGAATCAATATTGGATTACTAACAGAATCAATAATCAACACCTTCTCGGATTCACACCTTTCTCCTAGACACTAAGAGAAATATAACACACGTTGATGTCAAGGTACCCTATACAAAGAACATATCCGATTACACATACTGTCCCCACTCTTTCAAATCCCCAACAGTCCCCTCTAATCCAAACGCAACATACGGTACGCCACTACCTGTAACCGTAGTCTGACCCATCCCTTGCTTTCCTAATACTGGACCAAACTTAAATCTCGTCTGTTTGATATTCTTAGCAAGAGGGTCCGCACCCAAAGAAGCACCGCTATTCAAGGCATCCAGATCGGTATTGCGAGTCGTAGCAAGAATTGTAGAGAATAGAATGGAATATGAAACTCCACTGAGATGTATGGAGTGAAGGCCAATGATAGTTGCGATAGATGTGAACAGAAATCCAATCCCATATGAAAGAAAGAGAAAGGGGTCGATATACGTATACGATCGTAGTATCTGAGGTCGTAATGATTCTGAGCTCAGTACTGGTAAGTGTAGGAGAACTGAGATAGCTTATGGTGATATTCTTTGAGAGATCTTCGATTGCACGCAAGATAGATTGGTTTCGACACTGGTAAGATTGCGTGGGACATGTGGCGTATAGATTTTTGGTGCCTGCATTTGTCTCATCGGGGGTGCTCATCTTCGAGACAAATGGAGATTTCTGAAATTCTTCACATGCGAGAAGGCCAAGGGCGATGATGTTGCACTGTCCGGCGATAAACGACCATAGGTCGTTGCCTCTATTAGACAGAACCGGCAGAACCCAGCCCTTGACGGTCAGAGTGGCATTACCGGCTAATGTTGAAGCTAGTGCTACGAATTGAGAGTGGTGCATAGTCCGATCCATATGATTGAGAGAGCTCTTCTGGGCCGGGTAACACCACGCTGTGTGATTTGTTGTCTTCCACTTATAGAAGCAATTGTGACTTCAAAAGAAGCATTTATTTGCGAGTACACTATGCTTGAGGTTGACGTTTGTAAGAGAATATGTTTTGATGAAAATAGGTATGAATCATCAGAGGGACTTCAAAAAACCGACCTGTTAGTTGGAGTACCATCAGGTTCTGTATAAACGCTAGGCCACGAAAAATTGGTGTAATCTTTGAAAGTAGGCGTTGCCCAAGAGGAATAGAAGAGTAGGCTACGGACATTGGTGTTCTTTATCAAAAAATCGGAATCGGAAGCCCTCGAGCTGCTGAGCAATAAAATAGCAACTTCAACAGATACGTTTTTAGCCACAACGGATAATGTAGCTGTTGGTACAAAACGTATGAGATCCATGCACCTAAATTGACCACAATATCAGCTAAGTTGCGTGTCTAGTGACAACATAGTTTTCCTGGTCGCGAAACAAGCGGCGAGAATCGTGATTAGCTGTGAGTTCGAATGTGAAGACGAGAAGAAGGAGAGGAGGAATAATACCAAAAGATGAAACCCATGAATACCGCGAGCCGAGCATTCTTCAGAATGCAAAGATTGAAAATGCCAAACGGGTTAGTAGCGAGAGTAAAGGGTTTATCTAGACTACCTGTGAATCCCACCATGTCAGCATGAAGAGGCCCGGAAGGCTTGTGATGATATGATGCCCGATTGACAGAAGAAACCCGATTAACAACATTGAAATTATGAGTGTAGGCTGTTGCCAATCGATGTTCCAGGATAATTTGTTCAAATTGGCTACAGGCTTTAGAGTTGTATCTGTGTATGGGTGCGTAAAACTAGGATTATTCACAAGTAAAGTATCTTTCGTTGTGCACGAGGCTGGACTTGGTATCAAGTGTTTACTCTGATGTTCACTGGCAGAGTCATCATTGGAGCCTTGAAGTGATAATCTAGGCAAGTTCAAGTAGAACTTGAAGAGTGAACTGAATTTCCGTGCAAATTGTCTTCATCTCCCGTGTTTGAAATGGATGTCAAAGAATCTAGTTGTAGGTCCAGCTCGGGATCTTCGAATGTGATAGCACTGAAGCGCACGGAGGCTTTTCTGTTGGATCTGTTGACCTGTGTAACCGTCATTGTGGTGCTGCTATTTCGTAGAATTGATTGTGTGCAGTTGATTGTGAAGCGCCACTTGTGTTTGAACTTGCTGATGTGTCATCCTACTTTGAAAAATCGAAAATTGAATATGGAAGCTTTGGGATTGTATTGATGGTATATATCAGTCGAGGGAATAACAGTACCGACAGCAGTGTGAAGTGCACAAGACACAGGTAAGATGATTGTGCCGTTCTTACTTATATGATGCTGAACCGTCGATCATCGATTAGTTGTTCTGATAATCTGGGTCAAATCATCTGAAGTATTGCTATGATCACTTGAAAGGCTATGCGAGAGCTTTTGAGGCATGCGTGTATTATACTATACACCGAGTATGGCTGATTCTATATGCGTGGGGGCGAGGGGGGGAAGATTAGTCGCACTTCCAGTGGACAACATGGTATACGAGATGGCCAAGGAGACACGCCGCTGGGGGCTGTATGTTAGCAGCCCGTATATCACATTACGTCAAATCAGCCTTGCCGGAAGATTAAAGTAAGAAATCTTCCTGGAGTGATCTCGAACGAAGCAAACTATAGATATGCTCCATGATCCTTGATGACGAAAAGAAATTTGTTTTATAATTCATTTTCAGACACAATCTGCGTCTCTTCAGCCTCAAACTCTCCCTCGAATCCAATTTCAAAACAGGACCCTTTAGATTGTCCCACCTCAACTCAAGGCTCTACATATCATACATGTTGGAGTTGACCTTCGGACTGCAGGGTAAGAAGAACTTTCTTCCGGGCTACATTGCACAGCATGATGTATACAACAATTGATGGCCCTCTAAATAACATCTTTAGACTTGCGCTTGTATTTCGTATTCACAGACAGATAGATTGGAAGCAACGGGAGGAAAAAACACATGTTGAAAGTTTGTATTCAGGAAAACTGTGTGAATCGGTTCGAGAAACTCGGGCAAATACCCCTGCAAGCATTTCGGGGATTGAGAGGACGATGACGTCTCGTAGAAACTCGATTTTTTTGTTAAAAGAGTGATGAGTCTGGAGATAAAACAAATGCTGATTAATTGCTCCTTCTTCGTTCATGGCCGACGTGGTCAATCTAGGTATTCACAATCATATGATTATCAACTGGTTGGGGTGCGCCGTTGCGATGCGATGCAATGTGATTGTGTAATACTATTTGTGAATGGGTGAATGGCGTCAACCTCATCGGGCGCAGACTTTTTCCTAGGAATTTCCATTTATTTAACTCGGGCTTCCGCTTGGATATTTTGTTTATCCAAAACCAACAAAAGACAAATAAATCACAGCTTCTTTCATACCATCCATACCTTTCTTTGACATTTGGAGCATAAACATCACACTCAAATCTATTGAAACCAAATACAGAAATACTCAATCAACTGAAATTCAAAATGAGAGCTTACTGGTTTGATAACAAGGAGGTAAAGTACCCCTCACCCCCACTACATTACCCCTCCCTCTATTTTCTTTTTACTAACAAACAGTTTTCTATAGGGCGACCAACGCGAACTTCACGACTCAGGTCGCGACGTCAACCCTGAGTACTTGGAGAAGCTCGGAGTTCTCTATTACAGATTCGCAGATGAGAAAGATGTCGACAAGCTCGCCTCTGACAGAAGTTACAAGAATCGCGATGTAATCACGGTCTCACCAGAGAAAATGGGCGATATTTATGAGGAGAAGGTCAAGTCGTTCTTCAATGAGCATTTGCATGAAGACGAGGAGATTAGATATATCAGAGATGGAGCGGGATTCTTCGATGTTAGGAGTGAGGGCGATGAGTGGGTTCGTATTAGGTTGGAAAAGGACGACTTGATCGTAAGTATTTCTGATAGATGCGCTGGAATTGTGTTTGAATAGGGACTGACTTTGGCGGACAGATTCTCCCAGCTGGTATCTACCATCGTTTTACCACCGATGAAAACAACGTATGTTTCGCTTTATGATGTTCTTTTTAGCATGCGCCATTACTAACAAAAGAATAGTATATCCAAGCAATGAGATTGTTCAAGGAGGAACCCAAATGGACTCCTTTGAACCGTGGTCCAGAAGTCGATGTCAATCCATACCGCAAGGAGTATTTACAAACTGTTCCTGCAATCGCAGGCCAGTAATGGAGGAGTGGAGATGGAAGGGTAGATGATGGAAGTGAAATGGCGATAACGAAGTAATGAAACACTGCAAGCTGAATATGATAGCATATGATGATAGGTAGCAAGAATGCGATTTCATGGGTTTTGATAATTTGTGTCTCAATGAGGTCTGATTGAGATACTGTACACTGTTATCGCACAATGAATAGGCATGATAAAAGTCATATAGTTCGTCCGTTGAACTCATGCCAGATACCAGATACCTACATGTGATTACCATCCTAACCACCCATCTAAAGTATCTTTTCCTATCCCATCCCATCCCATCATCACCGTCAACCATCCATCATGGTAAAGAAAGATGCCGACTTACGTCATATCATGCCGTGTAGTGAATGAAGATATAAAAGATAAGACGAATTTTTTGAAGACGATAAGAGTTTGTAAATAAACCGATAACGAATTACCACTAAAACGCTCATCTCCATAACTTTTGCAATTCTTGGTCAAAAGCCCCGGGACAGTTCTTTTCAAGATCCTCAAGCTTTTGCGATTCTGGATCTGCCATAAGATTGTCACTTTCCCCCAAAGCCCCAAAGCTGACGGTGCTAGCAGATATGCACCAAATCTTTTGGGAAGGGGAAGCTTACCCCGCCATTGGTTAGTTTTCCCCAGCTCCCTCAACGTCACCACGAGAGTACCAACTCATCATCACCATTTATGATCCACGACCTCGCACATAACAATACATAAAGAGAGATGAAGGAAAATAATTCAAAAGAAGGAGAAGGGTCCGCTTATACCCCCGATTTCGACTCTTACAACAATTTACTACCATCGGGACAAAATCCCCCTCACAGCAATGCCCACGATAGCATGTCTCCCGATTTTCTCAAAGTCGAAAATACTCTCAATGCCGATGGTAAAAAGATTAAATTACAACTCCCTCTAAGCTGCGAGCCTCCGGGCCCAAATAATAAGACAAAGCCAAAGGTTTGGATTGTGAGTATTACCAAGCGCGGCCTGGCAGACAGATCATCTAGCCATCCGGACAAGGCCATTCTACACCTTCCATTTACTAACTCATCATTTAGATATTTGGCGCCAGTGGCCACATGGGTCAGAGTCTCACACGAGCATGTCTTTCCAAAGGTGACGAAGTTGTTGCCGTCGGCCGGATCAACGAAAATACAATCGAATCGATGCAAACCACATTCCCGCATCCAAACTGCTTCAATACTCTTTGCGACGTGCGTGTACGAGAATCCGTGTCTACAGTTATAGAACAGGCACTTGAAAAATTCAAGCGCATCGATGTGATAGCTAATTGTTCAGGCTACGGCGTCATTGGCGCATGCGAAGATCAGGACGAGCACGAAATTCGCAATCAATTCGAGACGAATTTTATGGGCACAGTACATATTATCCAATTGAGTCTACCATACTTTCGCGAGCAAGGAGCAGGGAGATATTTGATATTCAGTAGTACTTCAGGCGCGTTGGGTGTTCCGGGCTTAGGACCATATTGCGCGACGAAATATGCGGTGGAGGGAATGATCGAAGCGATGCTTTACGAAGTGGATGCTTTCAATATAAAAGCCACATTGGTAGAACCGGGGTTGGTGAGGAGAGATGAGAAGGAATTGGCTTCGGGTCCGCTACCTACTTGGGGACACTTCTTGATTAAACCTCCCAGTGAACCATATTCCGATCCAACTTCGCCGGCGTTGCATGCGAAGAGAATGGTTCAGTGGCTGGGGGATAAACAACCTACTAGTGCTAAGAAATGCGCAGATTTAGTTTGGCAATTAGGTCATTGTTCTTACCCGCCTCTACGATTACTTTTAGGGAGTTACGCTATAGAAAGCATTAGAGATCGTTTGCGATCTATCATAGAAGAGTTGGAGGACTGGAAGCATCTACATCATCCTATAGCTCCAGTTGATGAGCTTGATAATGAGGAGGATTCAGACGATGCTCGAGATGTAGATATGTCTGCTAAACCGAAAAAGGAGGATCGAGCTGCAAAGCGGGCTGCGACGAATTCATTAAAAGCAGAGTCAGATGCAGATAGTAGTTCATGACCACACTCAATAAGTTATCAATAATTGTAATAATATAATATTGGTACGCTTACTTGTGATTGCGATATGAATAAATGTCCTCAAAACCTCAGCATATAGGTATAGCATAGCGGCTAAAGTAACTCTCTGCTAGGTGCTTCTACCAAACGGTGTATCAGCGAACAATAACGTCCACACGCAATCTCTTCTTAAATCCCAAACGCCTTCCCATGCAATTTCATCATGATATTCTATGATGCTCTTTTTTATTTTTACCTTACTTCCGGCCCTGGCGCTGCGGCCATTGCAATATCATTATTGATTGCGTCCGCTGTTTCTTCTCTTGGTTGTCTATCAAATAATCTTCTCCAAAACATTGGTGGATCAAATGGACGATGTCCATTGTGTAGCGGTGGATAAACGTCGCAAAAGAAGTACCAAACATGACCAATGACTATTCCCATCAATTCATCCTTTGGAACTGTCCCGTGTAAAACTAAACTGAAACCCATCAAAACCCAGGGTAAATATGGAGCCGTGAAAACCAGTAATCCGAGGAAACTCAATTGTGTATCGGGATTTCGTCTCGACCAGATGTATACGAGAGTTGAGGATAATGGGTGTCCTAGAAATGGCATTGAGACCAGAGGATTTATGCAGATAAGACAAGTCATCGCATAGAGTAACAGCCATGAGAAATGCGCCGCAGATCGACCGGATGATTCTTCAAGGAGTCGCGAGTATCTGGTTAAGAAGAATACGTGGAAAACGAGGTCCAGAGATAAAGGACCAAAGTATATGAAAGTTGTCAAGAGGCGCCAATACTATTTGTGAAAAGAAATCAGCGAGTCCAAGATGCGAAAGCAAATGCGCAACGGAGGGAAACCAATCATACCTGCGACTTAACAAATACAGCTCTAAAGCTGTAGAATAGCTGGAACGGCGTAACAATTTGACATTGAACCAGCGCGCTTGTAATGACTGTAGCCGTCGTCCACCATCTTGTACAAACGGGCATTTCCCAAAACCAAGTTTCTAGCGGAAATCCGGCAGGGCCTCCTTCCCCATTTCCCATCATTTGATCCATAATTGGATGTATAAGGGTGTTGATAGAAGTAATGCGACAGTAATGCGACAATGAGGCTCGGAATCTGATTATGGAATAAATCGAGGAGAGCTTGCGTAATGGAGTTGTTTGATATTTCGAGATTTCGAAGTGAAGATATGGAGGAAATCTAAATACTTTTTCTTATGATACGAGGCAATGCGATTTCTAGATACTTTAGTTTGACAAAAAGATTTTTTTTTTTGAAAGAAGGTCGTGGGTTCGTATTTATAATTTATCTGTAGTTCATGACGTTTCTTTGAACAAGTTGTCCTGTTCTAATAAGGTCTAACGATGACTAGCCTTTGGCCCGGCAGACGATCTTAGATAAGGCAAGGCTGACAGTTTGAGGTTTCAGCCTTGGATATAGCCATATTTCCTGTCTACCAGATGGTCAAAGCGCGTAGGAATTGTAAATATGGTTGCTGTGGTTCCTAACCCTTCAATATTCAACTTCAGACTAGACCAGACCAGAATTACCAATTGAATATATCTCTCATCCATCCCACCCATTGAAACTCCACGCGATTTCGCCTCTCGAATTTTGTTCGGCTCGGTCTATTCACCTTCAATTGGACCAGCTGTCCAAATATCAAGGACGCGCATCCTCGCGCAAAACCGCGTCGTCGAATCCATCCCGGCTACAACAATTCTCAAGAATTTCGCACATTGATCATCACTTTGCGCAATCATAGCAGAAAGCACATTTCATTGACGAATACTCATAAAGCTTTGAATTATAATCAGAATTCGCAATGTCGCAAATGCAGAAGAAAAAGCAGCGTTTGTCACTGGACGACGAATCAACAGGGGGTACCCCAAGAGCAAACGCATCAGGCAGACCGGCAGGAAAATCTGTTGCAGGAAAGAGCATGAGTAAAAAAGCAAGGGATAGTGCTGTTAGAGGTAAGCCGGATTTTGTTCTTGCATTCCGAAGACTCGCGCTCGCGTTCGAAACGGATTAACGGTTCGGTTGATATTCTGATATGAAGCTCGGGAGAAAATTACGGTGCATATTAAACTCACATACTGACTCAATTGATGTAATTAGCTGGAGACCCAATTCCTCAAGGGAAAAAGCGCCGTTATAAGCCTGGTACCCTCGCTCTGAAGGAAATTCGCAAGTTCCAGAAATCTACCGATCTGCTTCTTCTCAAACTTCCCTTCTCACGTTTGGTTCGTATTTATTCCCTACTCAACATTACAGAGCTAAATCTAATATAATGGAAATCTAGGTCCGTGAAATTGCACTCTCAGTACGCCCTCAAGGTGAGGGAATGCGCTGGCAATCACAAGCTATTCAAGCGCTTCAAGAATCAGCCGAAGCATTTCTCGTCCATCTGTTCGAAGATACGAACTTGTGTGCTATCCATGCCAAGAGAGTCACAATTATGCAGAAGGATATACAACTTGCAAGACGTATTCGAGGTGCATGGGGTGGTTTGGGTTAGACTAGGACAATTACATGCTGAAACGCTGTATAATTGCTTAAATTCGCTTTGGAAATTTTGTCAGATTAGCTTGCCTGGATAGGGACTTTATTTTCGTTATAGGGAAGGCGTATATGGTTACATGGCTCTCTACAAGTATGGGAGGGATTCGACTGATATGAGGACGTATAAGCAAGCATTGATGGTCTATGCTAGATGAAGTAAATATTTGCTTCTCTTCATCAGTAGACCTGGCTTGTTCAGCAAGGTAGTATATGTGTGCCTTAAGATTTTCCTCAAGTCTAAATTTTATTTAAACGACGAAACAATATTTTTTATCAACGCCTTTTCAGCTGTATGTAACAGTTGTTCCGTCTTGCGCAGGTTCCAACAATTTCCAATCGCATTTGATATCATTCTTCGCAAAAGTATCTAAAATGACATTCGCAATTGCATCAAAGTTTTCTGTTGCAAGCGCAAGAATAGTTGGACCGGCTCCAGATAAACAGATTCCACATAGACCGGGATGAGATTTAGGAGTGACAGATTGTAAGATCTCAGGGAGGCCTGGTATCAAACCTTTTCTGTAAGGTTGATGTACTTTGTCTTGCATCGCAAGATAGATTTGTTCTGCATCAGGTGGTGATCTTCCAAGCGCTGAAGGTAGAAGAGCAATTCTTTGAAGGTTGAATACTACATCTGACCTAGAATAAGAAGATGGCAGGACACTTCTAGCTTTTGCGGTTGCGACTTCGAATTGTGGAATGATGGCAATGGCTTTGATTTCGGGAGCCCAGGGAAACTTCATGTAATGCCCGATTCCAACTGGAGGTTCGGGAGGATTGGATCCAGTATCTACTCCTCCGGCAGGTTCAGGGAGAACTTCACTGAGTGGAATCTCTTTGCGTTCTGTGTCTTCGGCGCTGAGTTCGTTGAGGTATGTTCCTACAAACCCTCCATACAATGCTGCGGCTACGTTGTCTGGATGTCGTTCTGTGTAGACTGTTAGATATATTCAGCTTGATGGGCAATTAAATCGTACCTATCATGAGACAATAGTCCAGCATCCTAGCTTTAGATAACTTCAGCTTCCCAACTTCATTGGCCAACGCAACACCAGCTACCACTGCGGCACCAGATGATCCAAGTCCGCGCCCTAAAGGAATAGGATTGATGATATGAACTGATGTTTCGGAAGGAAAGCTTCTTTGACCATGACATCGCAAAACGTATAATGCAGTTCGTGTAATAAGATTGCTATCAGCAGTCAAAGGAACCTCTTCTGCGCCTTGTCCTTCATATGTGATTTTGCAATTGAGAGGTGCTTGAGATGTAACTGATGAATTGACTTCGACATGTAACTCGAGCCATATGGAAAGGGCGAGACCTATAACATCGAATCCGGGGCCAATGTTCGCAGACGAACAGGGTACTTCTGTATGGACGTCAGTTTCGAATATCTTGCTAGCATCACTGGAAATGATCCTGATGTAAACGAGGTTTTGTGCGGCTTTGAGGAGATAGAGATGACGGACTTATGGTAATCATTTTTATTGAGGTGGTTTATAGAAGCTCGAGACTGGTGGAATCAATGAGAGGTTCAGCATGGAATATAAAGTTGCTATCGAATCATTCGATAAACTCTAGTGTGACCTTTTTTATCAGCCTTGCCCGATATCGCTATAAAATTGGAAAATTTTGGTATATCAACTAGGATTGTAGTCAGAAAGGTTGAAATTGGAATAAAATAAATATAATTCGTTCGCTTGAATCAGATCATTGCTCGGGCCGCTGTGAAGATCCATTTAAATTTCTCAGACATCCGTGACAGAATGATTAGTTGAACTTTCCTACATTGGTTTGTAGTATATTTGGTGATAAGATATAATGCTTCAAACACTTGAGAGTTGATGACAGAGTGAAGCCAAATCAAATTGAATCCCAAATTACACAATTTCGGCACATTGCCATAAACTACTAAATAAGTGATACACTATACCTAGCACTAAAGACTTAAATTCATCAAATAATATCGGTTAAATCATGGAGGGGTAACGTGGGGAGGAAAGTAGCGGGGTTAAAATTCTTGCCAGGCGGTGACACTAAGCGGGCAGAAAATGATTCAACCCGATGATCATATTGAATTTGAAGACTCTTCTTTTGTTCTCCAACCGTTTTCTCATACGTTAAATACCTCAACGCAATCTAGAATTTCACAATGGAGTCCATTCGAATCCTCCTTGTCGGAAACGGTGGTCGGGAACATACTCTGGCTTGGAAACTCAGTCAATCTCCCCGAGTAGAGTCTATCATCGCAGTTCCAGGAAATGGAGGAACTGCAAATTGCCCAAAAGTTTCCAATGATTCCAGTGTTAAGGCTGATGATTATCCTGGACTTGTTGCTTTGGCCAAGAAACATAATGTTAACCTGGTAAGCTTCTATATTCTACATTCATTTGAATGTTTATTTCATTCCAATGCTCGATTTTGTTAAGCAATTACTTACGTTTATACGTAGGTGGTACCAGGACCAGAAGCACCCCTCGTTGATGGAATCCAAGATTATTTCCGTGAGGCAGACATAGCTTGTTATGGACCATCAAAACTTGCTGCGCGTTTGGAAGGAAGCAAAGCATTTTCGAAAGATTTCATGAAGAAATACAACATCCCAACTGCGGCTTACGAAAACTTTACGGACTACGAAGAAGCGCGAAAATACATTGATAGCGTAAACCATAATGTTGTCATTAAAGCCAGTGGATTGGCAGCTGGAAAGGGTGTTATCATCCCAACATCGAAGGAGGAAGCCCACCAAGGACTAAAGGATATCATGCTTGATCGAGAATTTGGGGCTGCTGGCGATGAGGTTGTCATCGAGGAATTCTTGGAGGGTGATGAGCTCAGCATTCTCACTTTCTGCGATGGTTACAACATGTACTCTTTACCTGCTGCTCAAGATCATAAGAGAATTTTCGACGGTGATCAGGGTCCAAACACTGGAGGCATGGGATGCTATGCGCCTATTCCAATTGCTACCCAAAAATTAATTGAGGAGATCGAACGAACCGTATTGGAGCCCACGCTCCGCGGTATGAGAAAAGAGCGTACACCTTTCGTCGGCACTCTTTTCACTGGCTTGATGATAACCAAGAACGGACCAAAAACCTTGGAGTATAACGTTCGTTTCGGTGATCCAGAAACACAGACTTTGTTACCATTGTTGAGTGAAGATACCGATCTTGCAGAAATCATGCTCCTCTGTACTCAAGGATCCCTCGACGAAGCGAAGATTAAGATTGATCAAAAATTCAGTGCGACGGTTGTTGTAGCTGCTGGAGGATACCCAGGCTCATATGCCAAAGGCACACCCATGGAAGTCAGCACACCTCCGGCAGGCTCCAATATATTCCATGCTGGTACCGTGATGAAGGATGGTCAGTTACAAACATCCGGCGGACGTGTCATCGCAGCACAGGCTGTTGCAGAAACTCTCGAGCAGGCTGTGAAGGATGCTTATACCACTGTCGAACTCATCAAATTTGATAAAATGTTCTACCGCAAGGATATCGCTCATCGGGCATTCAGATCTTCATCTGCTACAAAGGAAGCACTTACATATGCATCCGCAGGTGTCAGCATTGATGCCGGTAATAACTTTGTCGAACGTATTAGAAAAGCAGTTCTTTCTACCCGAAGACCAGGAGCCGATGCTGAAATTGGTGGTTTCGGTGGAGAGATCGATTTGGAAGCTGCTGGTTATGCGGGTGCCCCAACTGTGGTTATGTGCATTGATGGAATTGGCACTAAACTTGCCATTGCACAAGCTATGGAGAAGCATGACACAGTTGGTATTGATTTGGTCGCTATGAATGTAAACGATTTGATTGTTGCAGGTGCTGAACCACTTGGATTCGTCGACTACTATGGATGCAGTCAATTAAAGCTTAAGAATGCAGCAGACTTCGTAGAAGGTGTTGCTAACGGATGCAAAGACGCTAATAGTGCACTCGTTGGTGGTGAAACTGCTGAGATGCCTGGTATGTACCAAGGAGATGATTATGATGCTGCAGGTTGCGCCATGGGAGTTGTAAAGAAGGAGAACAGATTACCAAGGACAGATTTGATGGCAGAAGGTGATGTGCTTATTGGGTTGGCATCTGCGGGAGTTCACTCCAATGGATTCTCTCTCGTGCGAAAGATCATTGCGAGAGAGGGTCTCTCCTATAAAGAAGACAAGTGCCCATGGGACTCTTCCACCACCGTTGGTGAAAATCTCCTCACACCTACTCGCATCTACGTTCGCTCTTTGAAACCAGTGGTCCAGAAGCACTTGGTCACTGGTTTGGCTCACATCACTGGTGGTGGCTTGACTGAAAACGTTCCTAGAATGTTACCATCTCATCTAGCTGCCGAGATCGACGTCGCTACGTGGCAATTACCAGATGTGTTCAAGTGGTTGAAGAACGCAGGTAATGTTGAAGCTAGCGAGATGGCTAGAGCATTCAACACGGGTATTGGAATGGTAGCAGTGGTCAAGAAGGAGAATGTAGAGCAGGTTGTGAGAGAATTGCAGGAGTCGGGTGAGAAGGTTTATACTATTGGAAAATTGATCAAGAGATCAGGTGAAGGTTGCGAGTTGAGAAATTTGGACTCGTGGAATTAAAAACTACCTAGGTAGGAAGAACGAGGAACCGGGAAGATGGATCGGGATGGGATGGGAGGTTTCATGTTATAAAAACAAGGCGTTTGTTGTATTAGGGATACCATGAAGTTGAAAAATAGACACGAAAGGAATTTTGAACGGATGCAAAAAGTTATACGCTAGCTGCTTTATATTGTAATTTGTTGAGCTTTATGGATTTACATTTTTGAGATGAGTTGAGAATCTCTAGATACCTAGCTAGACCTATCTTTCACGCCTCTATGCATACCCTGCTATTTGATGTGATGGTATACCAACCCCTCATCTTTTTATCTTTTCCCCTATTGTATCCATGGAAGTAATATAATGGCACAAACAAAGCACCACACCTCGTTCCTCCCCAATCATTCAATCATTTTACACCTCTTTCTTAACTCACATAGTGCACCCCATTCACCAAACCCAACCAAACCATCCATCTACCATCCCCTCCCCTGCATCTTCTCCTTGGGATCCATCGTCCCACAATTCAACCCCACCATGGCCTCTCCCAAATCCTCACTCACCTCCGCCAAAACCTTTGCATCATTAAAATGTGTCGTCGCCTGGACAATCGCCTTGGCGCGCTTCGCCGCATCTCCACTCTTAAAGATGCCACTGCCGACAAAAACACCATCGCAACCTAATTGCATCATGAGTGCCGCATCGGCCGGGGTAGCAATACCACCTGCTGCGAAATTGACAACAGGGAGACGACCCAACTTTGCAGTTTCTTTGAGGAGTTCGAATGGGGCTTGGATATCTTTTGCGAGAATGCGTAGTTCCTCGTCCGACATGAGAGAGGCGGCGCGGATCTCCGCGGTTACTTGACGTTGGTGACGCACGGCTTCGATGACGTCGCCGGTGCCGGCTTCGCCTTTGGTGCGGATCATGGCGGCACCTTCGGAGATGCGGCGCAGGGCCTCGCCGAGGTTGCGGCACCCGCACACGAAGGGGATGGTGAAGGGGTGTTTTTCGACGTGGTGGAGGGCGTCGGCGGGAGTGAGCACTTCGGATTCGTCGATGTAGTCTACGCCGATTGATTGGAGGATCTGGGAGGGGGGGATGTTAGATGGGTTTGAGAGGTTTGAGGGGTTTGAGAAAGAGGGGATGGGGGTGAGGAAATGGGAAAGAAAGAAGGGAGGTAAGAAATGCAATGAAAGGGGGAGAACTAACCTGACATTCAACAAAATGACCGATTCTCGCCTTGGCCATGACAGGTATCGTAACCGTCTCCATGATCTCTCGAATCATCTTTGGATCGGACATGCGGGCTACACCTCCCTGAGCACGAATATCGGCGGGAACTCGCTCGAGCGCCATGACTGCTACTGCGCCTGCTTCTTCTGCGATGCGGGCCTAGAGGTTGGTGGTGTTAGTGGCGGGTTTTGGGTTGTTTTTGATTCATGATGGATTGAAGGGCGAGGGAAATCGTGAGTCACTTACTTGTTCGGCATTAACCACATCCATAATCACACCCCCTTTTAACATTCGTGCCAACCCGGTCTTGACGACAAAGGTAGAAGATGTGTTGTTGCCATGTCCGTTTGCATTTCCATTTCCGTTGGTGGCGCTGGTGGGTAGTTCGTTGGACATTTTGTGAGTATTGTTGAGTATGGAAGAGAAGAGGAGAGGAGAAATGAAGGGTGAAGGTCTTTTTTAAGGCAGTGTAGTAGCTACGATAGAAAGATGTGAAGTATGTAGGTAAGTAAGTAATAAGTAGGTAAGAAGTGTAAGTTTAGATGAAGAATCCAAACAAGAAATCTATATCAAATATGTGTGTATGTACTCGAGTAAGTAGGTAGACAGGTAGACAGGTATGTGTGTGTATATATATATATCTGAGAAAAGAAAGGAAAAGAAATGCAAATTAGTAAAATACTTTCTTAGTAAAATATCTAGTCTAGCATATGACTCTTCTCATTCCATTCATTTCAATCTATCTCAGTCTTGGTATAAAGTCAGTTTTCGTATTTTGATAGGTCAATTGATCTGATGCATCCATCCCACGGTCATTAGTACCTAGGTAGGTAGGTCGGTAGGTATGTTTTTTACTCATCGCATTCTCATGCTTCTCTTGTTAATTCCAATTCCAATACCAATTCCAATTCATCTGCACCAAGGTAGGTACTGGCCCCTCCGACCGGTAAGTAATGCCGAGACAAAGAAAGGATGTGACCAAGTAATTTACTACCTAGATGGGTAAATCGACCTCTTGGTACATGTAGACATCCTTATAACCTCCGATTCAACCCTCCTGATTGGTCAAGACACACTCGATTATAGTACCTAGGTGCAACGTGGGGTGATTTAAGGTTATATTATATGCAGGGTTTCCATTTTATTTTCTTCCATTATTGTGTGCGGGTATGGTGACTAGTGCCCATTTAGGCTAGAGCGGCGATCGAGGGGTTTGTACATTGGGCTGGGTAGATACGCTTGGGATCGGGGAAGGAGTTTGCGAGATTTATGGGAATGTTGGGGTTGGATGAGTTATTTGGATGGGTGTGTGTGATGGGTGTGTGTGTATGGATGGATGGATGTATGTATGGATGTATGTATGTATGTATGTATATATATACATGGAAAGATTCGGGATGCAATATAAAAGGAGGAAGCAGGAGTTTGCGAGGTGGATGGATGGATGGATGGATGGAGTTGGTTTGCATGCACAAATGTATGAATACATGTATGCAGCAATGGCCCGAGGAGATGTAATGGTGATGAGATGATATATGAGATTTCATTAAGACGTCGTCTCGTGCTGGATTGGTTTTGTGGGATGGTACATGGACAGACATATACCGGATACGAATAAGAGAATTTAGGATGTTTGGAAAAGTATACTATCTGGGTACCTAGGCAGTATATGGGTATTATCCGATGTGCTAGGTGTGTCTGGTGTTTGAGTCGGACTTCGGTATCCTGATCTCGGGACAATTATTATCATCTGAGAATTTATATTAATATGTGATGTGATTCTTGATATGTAAATAAATGTACTTCTTCTCGATATCAACTCTTCATCTCCTCTTCTTCATGATTTCCATATATCAACAACGTCCAGTCTCTAGATTACATGTAGGTAAGAAATATTCAATACAAAAACCCCGATAGAGATAGAAATGAAAAATGTTCCTCTCTTATCCTTATCCGTATCGTGACGTCACTTGGTTTATTATCAGAAACATAACATATCACACACAACACCAAGTTAACTTTACGGGTCTTCCTTCACTCTACTTCACCTCATCAAACAAACACACAAACAAACAAACATCACTCACCACCGCCCAATCACTCAATTCCCTCTCGTCCCAATTGCCAATCTCTAGTCCCAAGTCCCTCTCACTACCATCCCAATCCCAACCCACCACTCTCAACCACCACTCCCCTCCTCCCAACACCCCCCCCCCAAAATGTCCCGCCTCCTCCTCCGCACTCCCCGCCTCACAGCTTCCGCACTAGGTCTCACCTCCTACACCTCCTACACACTCCTCCAATCGCACCGCTTTCCCGCTCGCTTGGATTCGGTTTCCTCGCCGCTGTCGAAGAATGGGAATGCGCCGATCATCAAGAAGGGGGCGGCTTGGATTCGAAGACTGTGAGTCAGATTAGTAGTGGGAGTATTGTTGGTATGTCTTTTCTTCTTCTTTGGGTTTCGTTTGTTTCTGGGGGAAGGGAGAGGAGAGATGGGAAGACGGGTGGATATGCAAACTGAGCGATGCGAATTGAGGAGGCAAAATAAGACAGCAGCAGGAAGAGAGAGTCATTAGAAAAGAAATCCACAAAGAACCCCCACTAACACCAAACCCACCACAGGACTAGGAGCCGGTCTGGCAGTCAGTACATTTTCGCGTTCCCTCGCCCTAATAATCGGATTAATGGTCGTTGGGATACAAGTACGTTCTTCCCTCTCCTCTCCTGCACCCCCCTTACCACCTACCAACCCTTTCCCTTCTACCTCTCCAACCCTTCTCATTCATCTACATACATCCCTAATCTCTATTTTCTTCTCCCCTCCTCCCCTCCTAATAAACTCTCCACCATCTAACATTTTCCTCCAGTGGGCCTCTTCCCACGGCCTTGATATCGTCCCTACAGATCGTATTCAGAGATACATCAAACATGTAAATTTGCGTTCCCTCGTGGAAGAAAACGTTGCGTTTAAAGTTTCTTTTGGTACCACTTTTGCCATGGCTGCTTTTATGCGATTTTAGATACATATTGGTTCTAGATTTATATGTCTAGTGTATTTATAATTCACGAAATTTACATATCAAGTCGAGGAATAGGATAGCAAAATGGTAGATGAGATGCTAGAAAAAGGATTGGTCTATCTATTCTAAAATTGATTGGGGCGGTTCAATCGTGTACAATACAATGAGTGCTATCTGGACTTAATTGTAGAATAGTTCCTTTCTTCGCTCCATCCAAATATTCATTCATCCACGTCCCGGTCATGTCTATCCACCCCAGCCCCTTCTTCTTAACCTCAAGAAACATATGCAAAATTTGATCCTCTACACGCCAACCAGAATTCTCTCACCACCGAATTTGTTCCCCTAGCACCACGAAGGCTTCATAAAAGTTAGCTCACAACTTCACTCTTGGAACAGAAATCGGAATCAGCAACTTACTTCATAACCTTGGCCAAAAATACCATTTTCTCCTTCTGATCTACCTTGTCACTCGGGAAGTTTCCGTCCATTAACGCAGCTTCCAACCAACTCTTTGCTCTCACCTGACTCACAACAAGTTTTCGCAGCGGATCAGAAAGTTTATCAAGTTCGCTGCGAGCGGCTGCACCACCAATATTGTAGATCAGGGCTTGGGCGAGGAGTGGCCCGAGATGTTGAAGAGCGTTGGTAATGGCTTGTTGGACGTGGGTATCGGGGTTGTTGGTAGGGAGGGAAACGAATGAGGCCTGGATTAAGGTTAGTCTTTGAGTTTTCGATTTTTTTTAATTATTCCGAGAGAATTGGGATAATTGTTAGGTGTAACCTACCCAGAATTCAGCAGCACTTTGTTTGGGTAGTGGATCCCGGCCTGTGAGGGCTTTGAGGGTAAACATGAAAATGTGTTCCAGTGAGGATTTGGGCTCATGGTTCAGGAGAATGTGGAGATTTTTGGGGGTGGAGATTAGACGGTGGAGGAACTCTATGCTTGGTTGCGAGATCTCTGGGTCATTGCTGGGCTCTGTAGTTTGTTAGCATAAATTGTCCTCTTCCTTTTTGATAAACTGTGCTATAAAACTGCGAATTCGAATACAAGGACATACCGTGATTTATAGCTTCCATCAATCCAGAGACCCATGTCAACAAGGCACTTGAAACCTGATTGTTGCGCTCATCTGATGCTGTGTTACATGAATTAATGAGCGAGCAGGCGGTGTTGATGACTGTGATAACACGAGGTGTCTGATAATTTGATCTGAAGATGAATCTAAGTCATTGATTTAGCATTGAACAATCTTACCATAACATGCTAAGAAGCAACTTACTTGGCGACATCCTCAGGAGGGAAAGCAAATGGACCATCAGTTTCGACCAAGCCAGTGCGGAAAACATGTGAGATTTCCTCTGTTACCTCACCATGGCCAGGGAAAGCTTCGTTAGCTGCGGTAAGAATGTTCAGAACCTGTACTTGAATTCCTCTGCCATTGCCATTCTTCCAGTATGAATAACTATTTTCACTAGTGTTAAGATCAACAGGGGTATCAGCTGGTACTTGAAGACCTTTTCCGATACTTATCAGACATCGTATAGCAGTGAGTTCAACTTCATCAGCAGCTGCTTGGCTATCCGGCACCTGTGTATTTGAGGCCGCATTTGTGAATTGTGTGCTCAATAAATGAAGGCTTCGTTCGTGGTCCCTCTGAACAAATTCCAACAATTGTCTAAGAGGATCCAGCTTCAATTCATCGTTCGGCATTGCTTCAATAATTGATGCTATAGCGCCAATGACACCTTCTTTTGCGTAACTTTCTACAGAGTTCTCTCGATTGATCTCACTGTATTGCTGCAGAAACGCCGCAAGTTCAGGGACAAGTACTTTTCGGCAGGATGAACAAAGCATCGCGATTGACTTTGATGTCACTCTGGCCAACGTTGGTGAATGCAACATACTGAACATAAGATTAAGGGCGCTCGGAAGATGTTGTGTATGACGTTCAAAGTAATCTGGATAGCCATTGATGACCATCAGGAACGCTTGCCTGGTGCGTGAAGGGACAGTTGAATCAGACCTCGTAAGCATAGAGAAAAGTGGCGACCCAAAAACTTTGTCCAAGTATTCATCTGACTCCTCCTTTATATAGTCCTGAAATTCAGCTAAGCAGGTCAATGAGGCTTCGAGTTCACCCCAAGCATTTCCTTTCTCAACCGATTTCAAGATGAGGTCAACAAAGCTAGAAACAAGTGGTAAGCCAAGTAACATGTACGATTGTTGTATCAAGTCTCCCACGTCTCTTCGAGCATCTTTGAAGGCAGCACGCTCATTTGAATCCCACGAACTGAATTCATGTTTGGGAGGGAATTGCATTTTTTGCCAGCATTTCTCAATTGCTTGCATCAGCACTGATCGCGCTGCTGGTAGCCAAGGAGGCGAAGCATCCACGTTGTATGACAAGTCGAGTACAGTTTCCAGATAGATAGCCCAGAATTCTACTGCTGGGACGAATATCTTGTCTTCATTGACGATATAACCATCAGCGCCAAGTAATCCTACAAGAGCAGAAAGTATCTGCTGACTTCGAGAATCGGTCGAGATATTTTGGGCTAGATCTTGCACCGTGGCATCGCCGAAGCTCAATAAGAATTGACCGAACTGGACTGAATCAAAGTCAAAATCGCCTTGGATCAATTTTGCATATCTTTCCTGTGCCCAAGAGCTACTGAAGAGATCGTAAAGCATCGTGAAGTCATTCTCAGAAAGAAATGACGAGTAGTTCGCTAGTATGTCTGCAAACAGCTCCACGGTGATTTCGTATAAATCATTATCGATGATCAGCATCAATGCAGGCTGAGTGAGAGTTCTTAAAGGATCAAGAACAATGGCAGCATCGAGAAATGCACGATGAGAGTAAAGAACCCATGACTATTCATGTTAGTATTAATTCTGAAAGGACACAAAAATGATTCTTGAGGTGTTGAACATGCTCTGGCACAATTGAAGCTGTTTGGTTCTGGCCAAAAATCGAGCTATATGGGTCAATTCGAATAGCCTGTTGGCCTCATAAGGCTTTTAAATGCGATCCAAGGAACAGCCTTTAGATACTTCAGCATACCTTGGCCATTCAATATATTACTTGTGCAATGGCAATGCCTACGACGTTGCAAAAGGCTGTAGTGAAGAAAAATCGAAGACTAACCTGAAAACATTTCATTGATTCCTGACGAACCTTTGTGTTTATAGGAACCCCTGTTGTGTTTACAATGCCCTTTTTCAATATAGTCACAATGTCTTCAACATTCTGAACCACATATTCGTGAAATTTGTGTCTAAGGAATATTAGCAACTGGCTTGATTGTAGAGAAGTGATGTGCCCACTGCTTCATTGAATTTGAATCTGTTTTTCCAACTTCTTCTACCAAGGTAGCTGAGAACCACAGTATCGCCAGACTTTTGTCATCTGGTAGATTCTGGGCAAGGACCGCCATGGTAGGAGCATCCTCGATTTTATGATAAGGAACGGCCTCGCCAAGGCAAAGGCAGTATGTGAGATGAGAAATGCAACGAGCCCAAGAGCCAGAGAAATGAAGGAAATAAGTGACTAATGTTGTGCATAGTTTTCTGACGACAAGTGGTCCGCAGCCAGAATTCAAACATTTGATAAGCCATCCAATGATCTGTTGTAGCACAATTTGTGCATCATCATCCTTTAAAGATTGTCTAGAATAGAGACATTAGTAAAAGTCATCAAAAAATTGAAAAGGATTAGGGACCAGCCTACGTACGAATCTGTGTTGAGTTTGATAGTGAACGTCAATGCCCCAAAGAACTTGACATTTTCCGAGTTGCTTCCCAGTAAGCCATTGGCCAGCTCCCAACCAGCAGGAGAACGCTGTAGCTTTTGGAGAGTTTCTTGAATTTTTGAAACCTGTTGAGGAGGACCAGCCTTGTATAGTTGATGAACGAGCTATAGCCCAATCAGTAAGTCTTCTGGATTGGATATTGAACATTATAAGGTGAGTGTGTTTGCTAGTAAAAGATATCTTGACTGATCTCGTGACATTCCATTTTCAGCAAAATTTTATTAAACAAATATCCATCGTCTTCAAGCCACTTGAACATCATAAGTCATTCTAGAAAAAGATGAACTTACAGCTTCTACCTCATCAAGTGATGAAGGTAACGTTTCGGTCTCCATATCCTTTTGAAAGGGTATCGTTTGTGTACCAATCAAGCAAAAACGGAAGCACACGCGATCTAAAAGTAAGACAGATTAGGAGGAAGCTTGAATTTGACACATGACCGTAGCCAAAGGATGTTGAGGTTATAATTTCGGGAGATTCTTCAACTCAAATTTTGGGCATCTATGATGTGGAAGGGAAAGAAATCTGCAAGACTTTATGCTGTAAATTGTTTGTTTTGTTATGGCCGGTGAATCTTTGGGCCAGCCTTTTTGAAAGCGGTAGCAAGCAAGCCTTCATAAGCCTTGCAAAGTGGATAGAAAATAATTGATGAATCCTCGCTATAAGAGAGAATTAAAGTTGGTTTTGTTTTATCACTTCTTGGTCTGATAGAATACAGAGAGAAATCTCGAGAACCATCTACAGCGAGGACATTTTTATTTGGGGGAATATTGTAGCAATTTTGAACAAGCAATCTATCTTGTGTTGTTGTAGGTTGAGTAGCTTCCATGCTTCCATTTGGAAATTTGGTGGTGTTGGGTTGGTTCTTCGATAAGATATGTTTAACCCCACCTCAGCCCACCAGCAGCCTCGAGGTGGTGGTAGCCTCACCAGATGATTACATGACTAAATGTTCGATATGTCTAGCACATCAAAAGGTACAGTGAAGCATACACGCATTGGAATCATCCGTACACAAGAGGTTCAGACGGCTTATGACAATACAGAAAGATAGTGCTCGAGTAAGTAGCTATTCAACAATCAAATTACAGAGAGTGTCGTGTTACCTAATAAGTTTCTTGATTCAGATCTACACATTTCATACCTCCTTTCACGTTACACCGAGCCTCGCTGTTATCTGCCCCATCTTCTTTGACCACTCATTTCTGTTCCACTACCTACCGTCTTGGGAAACCCAATGCGATACTTCCGTCCCTTAAATAGTTGCTTACGTGGAATCCGTTCTTGTAGCTCTTTTCAACCATTCGCACAATCTCTCAACACTCGCATTCGATATTCGTCCAGTTTTGCCAGTACGTGCATTGCAGATCCAAGGAGTGCTCTCTTGATTGAGGCTTGGAGTTGACGAGATCTTAGAAACAGATATGGAGAGTATTAATACAACGGAGCGCTTGGCGGGATTGCGGGAGCTTATGAAAAAGAACAAGGTCGATATCTACAGTATGTAAGTCACCTAGTGGCCATTCCTCCATGTATCAACTCTGCCTAACCATCATATAGTCGTTCCTTCGGAAGATAGCCACAGCTCCGAATATATTGCAGCGTGTGATGCGCGAAGGGAATTTATATCAGGGTTTTCGGGATCAGCTGGATGTGCAGTAGTGACTCTGGATAAAGCTGCTCTAGCCACGGATGGTAGGCCATGACATTTGGTCTGCGTAGAGACCCCACTAAGTTTCTCATAGGTCGATATTTCAACCAGGCTTCACGCCAGCTCGATAGTAAGTAAATTGGTTTGACTGTAGTCCTACGGAAAGCTGGCATCTATCATGTTGGCATCCTCCTATGGCTACTGATCACTTGGAGACTAATCATGATAAATTCAGACAATTGGCTCCTTTTAAAACAAGGTCTACAAGATGTACCAACGTGGCAAGAATGGGCTGCTGAACAGTCCGAGAAAGGGAAAGTAGTCGGTGTTGATCCTACCATCATGTCTGCATCTGACGCTCGAAAACTCACCGAGAAGATAAAAAAGCGTGGCGGGTAAGCATGACACATCCATTGCTTTCATAGTTTATAGAGAGCTTTCTCTGATCTATACCTCATATGAAAGATACTGATTTGATTGTGGTAGAAATGACTTAGTTGCCGTGGAAGAAAATCTGGTGGACCTTGTTTGGGGAGACAGTCGTCCATCCAGACCAAAGGAGCCCGTCAAGGTTCTAGCCCGTAAATTTGCCGGGAAAGATGTCAAGACTAAACTCGAAGATCTCCGAAAGGAATTGCTGAAGAAAAAGAGCTCCGGTATTATTGTATCCATGTTAGATGAAATAGCTTGGCTATTTAATCTGCGTGGAAATGATATTCCTTACAACCCAGTTTTCTTCTCTTACGCCTCGGTCACATCTTCATCCGCCACTTTATATGTGGATTCAAGCAAATTAAGTGATGAATGCATGGCGCATCTCAATGAAAACGGAGTTTCTGTTAGAGACTATTCGAAGATATTTGGCGACGTTGAAGTCTTGAGCCAATCTCTAGATGCAGAAGACGCCAAAGTCAAGAAGTTCCTAGTCTCAAGCAGGGCATCATGGGCACTAAAACGCGCTCTTGGCGGTGATGCTAAAGTCGATGAAGTGCGAAGTCCAATCGGTGACGCTAAATCTGTCAAAAATGAGACCGAATTAGAAGGAATGAGAGCTTGTCATGTTAGAGATGGAGCAGCACTTATCGAGTACTTTGCATGGCTCGAGCATCAGCTCGTAGTCGAAAAAGTAGAGATGGATGAAGTTACCGCGGCTGACAAACTCGAGCAATTACGGTCAAAGCAGAAGAATTTTGTTGGGCTATCTTTTGACACGATATCCTCCACTGGACCCAATGCAGCAGTCATTCATTACAAGCCTGAGCCCGGTAACTGCTCAATAATCGATCCAAAGGCTGTTTATTTATGTGATTCTGGCGCCCAGTACTTTGACGGCACTACTGACACCACTCGTACACTACATTTTGGCGAGCCAACAGAAATGGAAAAGAAGGCTTATACGTTAGTTCTGAAAGGTAACATTGCTTTAGACATCGCCATTTTCCCCAAAGGAACTAGCGGATTTGCTCTCGACGTTCTTGCTAGACAGTTCCTCTGGGTAAGTCCAATCACTCAATATTGCTCCTATGATGCTAAGATACAAACAGGAAGAAGGCTTGGACTACAGGCATGGAACTGGCCACGGGGTTGGTTCATTTTTGAATGTTCACGAAGGACCAATAGGAATCGGGACTAGGATTCAATACTCGGAGGTCCCACTAGCACCTGGAAACGTCATCTCTAACGAACCTGGGTATTACGAGGATGGCTCTTTTGGTATCCGAATTGAGAACATCATCATGGTGAAGGAGGTTGAGACGAAGCACCAATTTGGCGAGAAGCCATATTTGGGCTTTGAGCATGTCACAATGGTGCCATACTGCCGGAAACTTATTGATGAGACTCTCCTGACCCGAAAAGAAAAGCACTGGTTGAACGAGTATCATGCTGATATTTATTCTAAAACTAAAGATTTCTTTAAGGGAGATGAGCTCACTATGAGTTGGTTAGAGAGGGAGGTCGAACCGTTGTAGTCATGCATGGAGGGGTATCTTACCCAGGCCATAGGGAGGGGTAAAGTAATGAATGAGAGAGCTGAGGCCCGTGACAACATAGCATACATATTGCCATATTACATGTCTGATAGCGCAGAAGTGTTTCACTGTTGTACTTGCATCAAGTAAATACACCCCACTATCTTGAATTGTGGAAAGCTCTGTATCGTGAAAATGGCGTTAAAAACATCCCACTTCTTAGACTATCGTGGTCCAAGTTCATGCATCATTATGGAGAAAAATTGAAGGGTCTAAACAATTTGAAAGGATCACGTGCAGACAGGAATGATAGAACCAATCATAATCAAAGGAGAAATGTCCGCTTCTAGATCTAGCTTTAACGGTGAGTTTAACCAGACCTACGAACAGGAAACGAACAGCAGGAAGAAACAAGGAATCAGAAAAATTATGTTTTGCTCTGTTATATTTTACTCACCGCACAATTGAATCCACAAAAGTTCTTGTGCGTGCATTGTCCCAAATCTGCAGTTGCATTACTATAACTTCCGATACGCCGTGGCACTTCATCGTAGCTAATTCATTAATTCATTCCTCTCAACATCCCGCTTTCAGTTTGAAACACTATGCCGCCGAGCCAGAATGGTCTTCGCATGTCATCGATATATCGTGGCAACAACTGCGCTTTCATTCCTCTTCTACCTACCTAGCAGGACAATCGCGAGCAGTGTGTCAATCACTGCCAGCACAGGCCCTGTAATCAATGCCCCGAATACTACTGGAACATGCGAGTTTAGAACAATCAACTACATAACAGATATATTACCTCAACAATGCCTTCGTTCATCTTGGAGTAATACGGACTCTCCGCCAACAACAAAGACAAATGCTATTGGTGCAGCTGGAACTCTCGAAAGCCAGGAAAATGATGTTGTAACGGACACGATATCAAACACACCTTCTTTCAGCGAGTCTGTTGCCCAAACAAATGACGAAGCTAAAATTACTGGCGAAACAAGTCGTATATCCGTCATTCAGCTTAAATCGTCTAGCCCATCTCCAGAAATACCGTCTCCTACGGCATCTCCAACTGCTGTCGATGAAGGAGAGCTTAATGATGCCTCATTCTTGTCATTCGAAGAGTGGAAAAAACAAACATTGGAGCAAGCTGGGCAGCAAGATTTGAATCTGGGCAAGCGAAGATCTGCGGAAGCGGCTAGGAAAAGAGAGTCGGAAGCATTTCAAAACAATCTTGAGTCTCTTGGAGATGATGGGGAAATTGATTTGGACTTTGGCGCTTTCCGAAATGGAGCGGCTGAGCAAACCTCGAGAACGACCGAAGATAAAGGCATGGGTTCAAATCAGGATTCACAAGAAGAGAAAAGTGGTTCTGGGCATCGAAAGGAACACCGAAGTAAGGATGCTGGCAAGACCTGCAAAGAGCGTTTTTCCTATGCATCATTTGATGCCGGAGCTACTGTTCTGAAGACCCATCAAGGTGCAAAAAACTCAAAAGCTGTGTTGATAGAGAATAAGGATTCCTATATGCTTTCGGAATGTAAAACACCGAACAAGTTTTTAGTCATTGAGCTTTCGGTAGGAGTTGTGCTGCCCCGCAGCAGAAAACACATTGCTAACAAATCATTAGGAAGATATATGGATCGATACTCTAGTTCTTGCCAATTATGAATTCTTCTCCAGCATGCTAAGAACATTCAGAGTTAGTGTCAGCGATCGATGGCCTGTGAAGACGGACAAGTGGAAAGACTTGGGTGTCTATGAAGCTCGCAACTCGCGAGAAATACAAGCCTTTTTAATAGAGAATCCGCAAATTTGGGCAAGGTATATACGCATCGAATTTTTGACACATTACGGAAAGGAGTACTATTGCCCACTCTCGCTCGTCAGAGTTCATGGCACTCGCATGCTTGAAAGTTGGAAGGATACTGAAGCTAACAATGATGACGACGAGGAAGCGGATGAGGACCCTGAGGAAGGATTTGTTCCAGAAGCTGTAGCAGAAATCATTCAGGCGACATCGTCTGAAATACAAGCTGTGCGTGTAACAGCGAATAACCAGGCAGAGCCTACAGTATTATACACTACTCGAGACGTTCAAAGGGAAGAAATGCCAGTGGAGACGCACCTTAAACCACCGCCAACACCAACTTCTCTTTGGAAGAAGCCTATAGCCAGAGAATTTGAATTACTCTCTATACAATCTCTATACTTGTGCTATCCTTCAGATGCTCCGGAACATATTCTCACAAGTCAAGCCGCGGTGGAGAATGAGTCATATAACTTCAAGACTACTATGAAAGTTCCGCCATCACCTGAAATGATTTCTACTGCCTTCACAGATAATGGGATCACATCCTCATCATTGTCTTTCACCGGTCCTTCTGCACAGCAAACGTTGTCCGAGGATAAAGCATCCCTAGCAAGCACGTCACTTACCCAAGAAACCCATGAATCTTCCAAGGTAACTCACGATAGCTCACATTCAACTATTCCAACAAGTTCCACAACTACTATAGTTAACAAATCTCAAGATGCTACAAGTACAAATAAGACGCGAGGTACAAACACTTCGTCTGGGCCTGCCTCTTTACCCACTATCCAAGAGAGTTTTTTCAAGGCTGTGTCAAGACGCCTGCAGCTGTTGGAAACGAATTCAACTTTATCATTGAAGTATATTGAAGAGCAATCGAAGATGCTTCGAGAAGCCTTCCTGAGAGTCGAAAAAAGGCAACTTCAAAAGACAACTGATTTTCTCGAAAATCTCAATAGCACAGTTCTTACGGAACTCCGCGTGTTTCGTCAACAATATGATGAGATATGGCAATCGACTGTTATTTCACTTGAAAGTCAACGAGAAGAATCCCGTCGAGAAATTTTGGCTATTAGTGCTCGTCTCAATATCCTAGCCGATGAAGTTGTCTTTCAAAAGCGCATGTCTATCATCCAATCTGTACTGCTTCTTCTATGTCTTGGCCTCGTGATTTTCTCCCGTGTCTCCAGTGCTGAGCCTCTCAGCTTCTCTCTCCATAATCGACGTTCCCGCATAACGAGCAACATCACTAGTATGGAAAGTCCAATCGATACGCCGGGCTACACCTCTCGGGACCGTGAAGATTACATCGGTGACGCAAGTTCCCCTGTAAATGCGTGGACCGGCCACCATCGACGTCAGCCCTCGGATGAATCTGTCAACTCGCGCTCCCGATCAAGAGGTTGGGGTCCTCCAACACCCATATCAACATACTCCCGCTCTGATAACGAGCTGACTCCTCCACGTTCATTTGACGACGCAACCACCAGTACTATAACCGGAGCAACAACTGGTACCTTTTCTCGACTTCGCAGAAGCATCACTATGAAATACCAAAATTCTAACCCCTTGCTATCTGCATCGAAAGAACATGAACTTCTTCGCACCTCATCATTCGGACCTTCACTTAGATCTCACAATTCTTCACCTGCCTCGTTCTTGTCAGTTGCAGACGCCAAAGAAAGGGGCGTCAGAGATAGAAACCCTACTGCTCTAGCCAGTCCCCCGCCTAGTGATATTGAGAGTCACGATCCCATGGATGAGGTGAACTCCACGTCCACGGGTGTTCAACATGATGCATTGGAAGGGCAAAGTGTTGCCGATATCAGGGAATCTCAATCCCTTCAAACACCTACACAAGAAGAACCTGATAATGAGCAAAAGCCCTTGCCGGCTTTACCTGATGGAGGTCCAAGCCCATAGTATAAATTCGTTCTACTTGGGCTTCAAATTATTGTTCTACTATTTAGCGAGGAGTCTGGTTTGGGTCTTGGCATATACCACTATTGTTTATTGTTCATAGTTATGATATTGAGGCGAAATAAAACGTTTTTTTATTGCCATGATACTATTTTCATGTCCTTTCTACTATAGTTTCTCGGTGCTACAGAAAAACATGAATTCATATCATCCCATCAAGATCATTTACACAATAGCATGTCTTCAGAGAGAGCAATTGAGTTGGAATTAGCTGGAGTCCTCGGCTACCCGATGAGCGAAGATTACAAAGTATCAGCTTGCGGCAGTATTCATACGTAAGTCTTTTGAAATGAAATCATGCATTCATATTTGAAGACCTACTAGTCCTAAACTCTGAATGAGAAGACTGAAAGTATTTGAGTCTAAAGGGTCATTCGATTGAAATGTAGCTAAGGTTGGAGGGGCATTTGACTTGCAGATCAGAGTTGAAATAGTTGTGAGATCTCGCTTCAAGTTCTTTTACAACGCAGAGTAGTATACAAATTTGCCACCAGGTCATGATGCCGTTGTCTATTTATCACTCCGGTCAATCGTAGCTGTAGTTTGGTCGAGGTTGGTGCTTACGATGAACCCTTCCCAACCTTCCAAAATCGCGAAGCGGTTAAGTCCAGAGACAAGGTAATTGCACCGGCATCTTTCAAGTACTTAATGCGATCTTTCGAACCTTGACATGTGGCAATGATGTTATCGCCTCGGTCTAGAATGTTTTGGACGAGTTCTTCTCCAAACCCGGAGGAACAGCCTGTGACAAGCCAGGTAAATGTGATCATAATTTGTTTACAGGCGTTTTGTTTGACAGGAAAGCTGTTGGTGACAAGTGAATTTTAAAGTTTCCACGAGGGTTAAGACGGGATTTTGATAAGCTTAGAGCGGTGACTACGAAGATAGTAATGCTTTTCGTGCTGCACCGGATGCTTTTCTCATTGATTCCGACTCCCAACAGTTGGTCTTACATCACGAGGTGGCGATCCAACATGGTTTTTCATTGCACAGAGGAAGTAGTCTTTCCTTATGATAGCAGGAAGGATTAAATCTTGATTCCTAGAATGCACAGTTCTCGATATCAAGATTTGCAAGGGCAGTGTACGTTTTAAGACCAGAACTTTTCGAGTATATGAGTAAGATAATAAGTAACTGCCAATGAGTACCAAATCACGATAGTAGTCCTTGAATACGTGAATTGTAGCAAGTATAGTAAATTAACCTCCAAACACTAAGTGGTGCTGGTAACGATCGGCTAGTATAATGGTTACCCCCTTTGTATATACACATATTTGGAAGTAGCGCCAAATAAGAACTAGATGGCCTCACAAATTCACGACGAGTAGTTTAATAATTTGTCACTAGTACCAATAGACACCTAAATATATCTAATATATACTATCTGAGGTCTGAAATGTCAAATGTCGTTGTCGAGATATTGTCCTTTTTGTCTTTCTTTCTTGTAACTATTCGGTTTAGTCTCTTCTTTTATTCTATATTTACCCCTCTGTTTATATTCACTTAAATTTTTGATTTTGAAACATGATACCTAAAAATTCAATTATTTATGGCTATACGAATCAAGATCGGGAATAAATTCTGCCTCGAAACAAAACTGTTAATGTGTTTTCTTGAGATGATGCCAATTAAGATTCGAAAGAAATCCCTAGAATCCTTATTCAGAAATTTTCATTTTCACAAATTGTACCAATTAAAATTAGAAAAATTAAGAAGGAATTCCTGAAGCTTTTTGAAAGAAAAGGATACTAGATACAATCAAAGCTATTGATTTTGACTCTTTGACACGTTCGATTTTTGTTCATTTTGTTTTAAGTATGACTCTCTACAGGGTACGGTGGGAAGCGTAGGCTAGAATATGAAGGCATTCAGAGTATATTATTCAGTGTACTAATTCACTATATGGATAAGAGCTCTGATATATATATCAGAGCTCTTACTAGAACGCATTTGGGCTAGCTCCCTTCCCATCCGCACCACACGAACCATATTCATTTAACACATTTGGCCATCGGTACAATTGACGGACCTCAACAAGTATGCTAGGTAGTTCCCCGGAAGTACTCTTCAGCTTTTCAAGAGACGTCAATCTTCTGCCTCTTCAGGAAGACTGAAAAGGCGAGCGCTACAGCTCCGGCTGCAATGGGCAGGACAAAAAGCTTCTTGAAGCTGCTCATAATAATGTCCAGAATAGCGTTTTGTATATTAGCATCTAAAGTTTCGAAGAATGAATTTCCCAAGCCGGAGATAAGTCCTTGGATTTCAGACGAGCTTCGATTTGGAAGCAGAGTCATGATACCACTCTGTGCAGTATTCAGGAAGACAGTGTCGCCGATTGCCAGTGATAGCGCTGCGCCACCTGATTGGGCACACGTCAAGAAACCAGTCACAATCGGAATGTCTTTGGGAGCGACAAGGAATTGTGCAACTGTAAATGATGCTTGACTCCAACCGCCGACAAATGCCATAAGTACAGTATATCCATAGATGGAACTGACAGAAGTATCCCTTTCGATGGTAAAGAGAAGCGCAGAACCAATGACTTGGAGAGCAGAGCATCCAAGATACCAAGGCATATAGTAGCCCCATTTTGACAATGTGAAATCATTGACAAAAGTCATAGTAACCATAACCAAGATAAATGGAAGGAGCTTGAGACCGGAACCCAATGCAGACTCGCCATGGATGATTTCGAAGAAAATAGGAATGAAGTATATCGGAAGGAATACTGCTGCTCCGGCGCAGGCTGTCTCAATGAAAGGGTGACTATCTCTTTTGACTGAAGGTATTCTATCGGAATCAATCTGTGTTCCTCCGTTGTTCCAAACGCATATGACTGTTGAATAGCCAATGCAATGAACAGAATGCCACTGGTAACGAAAAGACCGATGATAGATCCAGAATCCCATGGAAATAATACACCACCGAAGGCAATGGCCATCAGCAAGCATGCTATGGCACCCAAGAGGAGTAAGGCACCAAGCCAGTCAATTTGCCCCCATCGACCAAGGAGACTTAAGTTAGATCGGGGTTTGGAGTTTGGGACGAGAAACACGTATACAGGAGCGAAAGCTCCTCCGATGCAAAGGTTGATGTAGAATCCCCATCGCCATGTGGCGCTACTATCAGCAAAAGCCCCGCCTATGAAAGGACCAACCCTATGGATATATTAGCTTAATGTGAAGTTTGGGATGTCATTGAGTCTCACACTGTGCCAATGCCCCAGAGTATCTATCATCATTCTGGATTAGCATACCGGATTTCAAAGTTCAGTGTAGTCGACTTACACCTATCAGACCAAGATATACAGGCCGCTCAGTCTTTGATGTGTTCTCCGACATCACAGTCATGACACCGATATACATTCCTATTCCTCCCAGTCCGCATATAGCTCGACCAACAGTAAGAGCGTTCATGTTGGGAGCACCACCACATATCGCGGAGCCGACCTCAAAAATCAAGGTTGTGAATATATAGACATACTTCGCGTCAAATGTACCATATGCCTTTCCCCTACGTGCCACTACATGTCAGTATGAGGATGTGTGCAGATTATCTCAACTACTTACCACATCAGATTTCTTCCAGCCGCCCCCAGCATGAAAGCCACCGAAACCCATGTTAGCTTTCCCACTTCATCGAATTCTTCGACAATTGCTGTCTGAATATCGGCGACGATAGTGTTGTCTATGGCGAACAAAAATGTCGACGATGAGATGCAAGCAACCACTAGGATCCAGGAAAGCCCATTGATTGTTCGAGTAGAATGTTCTACAATATCTCTATCTCTTTCGACTGTGGCATTGGCAGAAGATATCTCCTCGGATACTTTTTCGGCTTCAGTAGCAGAACCTCCGACGAGCCGTGGGTTCTCCGATGTTCTGGCCGAGCTATCCTCAGCTAAAAGTACTGGTGACGATGTCATGGTGTCTTTTGAGACTCAGAAGAAAAAATAATATTGTCAAATTCATATGAAAGTGCTTCGCTACAACGAATAAGTTTACTTTTAAGATCAAAGGTAATTAGCTGGTTCTTGAACTTATTATTGCACTTGTTTCGTATTAAAGCCCGAAAGATACTAGGTAAACACCTACAGCACTTGGAACTCTTAATAAAATTCGTTCGATTTTGAATATAAAATAATTGGTACACTGTCAAATCATAACGGCCTAGTTGATCAATACAAAATTAGAAGTTTAGAATTGTTTGACCCTTCCATTATTTTAGTATGTACATTCGCTTGCGCCACCCCTGTGAAATTAGTGGCCATAGGTTTCTGCAAACCCCTGGTAGCTGTTGGCTGCTTATGTTACATCAATTTCCGCGCTAATACTTGTCGCTGTTTTGGCATTATAGCTACAAGGTAGTTATGAGTTCGCTCTTGGTAACAGTTTGGTGGTTGCAAGGCTATGCTATCCACAATAAACCTAGAGATTGCTCAAAGTTGGGATACTTTACGGACCCCCCCAAATTCTACTTTAAACTGTCAGAGTCTTTAAACTTTTTCACTCAATTCTGGCATCGCTGTTTCTCCCTTGAATTCGACACCGAGATCTTAACTATGGCGCTTTACACTACATTCGATATCAGTTATCCATCATTGTTGTTCCTTTGCACAGTTTTTCTACTTACAATTCGTGCTTTAAGGAACCACATAAGCACCAATCGATTGCGAAAGGGATGTCAGCCACCACGATCAATTCCTCAGAAAGACCCATTCTTTGGGCTTGATATAATCTACGGCCGGTTCACAGAAACCTATGAAAAGCAATCGCGTGATACAATCGCCAAGGATCTCTTTTCAAAATATGGCCATACGTTTCAATCATTTCCGTATGGTGTTTCCGAAATTGTTACTGAAGCACCGGAACACGTTAAAGCTATCTATGGAACAGATTTCGAATCATTTGGCGTCGGTCCTATGAGGTCTTTTGGGTTGAAACCTTTGGCAGGCGACGGCTTAATGTCCACAGACGGTGCAGTGTGGAAGGCTCATCGTTCTGTGCTCACTCCAATCTTTGCAAGAGCCACACACCATCAACACATGTTTGAGCAACACGTTGCACGGCTTCTGGCCTTGATTCCTGAAGATGGCTCCACTGTTGATCTACAACCGCTGTTTGACCGCCTAGCACTTGATAGCTCCTCTAAGATCTTATTTGGGGAGTCAACGTTGACTCTATTGCCGGAAACTCCAGAAGATGCCATGAGATTTCTAGACGCCTACAACTACTCTTTACAAGGTGTCGGCATGAGAATGGTGTTGCCATTCTGGGATTTTTTATCTCGGAATCCTAAGTTCTGGTCTTCATGCAAGGATGCGCAAGCTTTTGTTGATAAAATACTTGACAAAGTAATGGATAAAGCCATATCGACCAGCGAGGAACAAAAATACTCAGTGGCATACGGACTAGCAAATCTAGGTCAAGATCGAGTGAAGATTAGAGACGAGCTTTTGGGCTTATTCCTTCCAGTTCACGATGCCATCGCGACGCCTCTTACAAACATGTTCTTTAATCTAGCACGCAACTCTCAGGCATGGACGAAGTTGCAAGAGGAGGTATCATCCATCGGATCTGCAGAACTCACTCCTAAACTTGTGAAGAGTCTAAGTTATCTCAACTGTGTCATCAATGAAACAATGAGACTATATCCCGGTGTAAGTGCTAATGAGCGTATTGCGCTTCGTGATACAGTTCTTCCGACAGGAGGAGGGCCAGATGCAACTTCTCCGATTTTTGTCAAAAAAGGCGTAAAAGTTGTAATTTGGTTCGCGTCAATGGCTCGACGAAAGGATCTTTGGGGGGGAGATGCTGAAATATGGCGTCCTGAGCGATGGGAAGGCGATTTCAAACCTGATCGTTGGATAAATTTATCCTTTGGGGCTGGGCCACGAATGTGCCCGGCTAGTGATCTTGGCGTTACCCAGATCGCGATAACTACCATCAGGATTCTGCAAAAATTCAAGGGTATTCAAAATCGTGATCCGGTGAAGGAATTTGTGGATCGTTGGAGGGTAACAACTGTGAGCAAGAACGGCGCCCAGGTTGGATTAATACTTTGATTTGTATGTAGATGACAGCCCCCAAGACTTTACAATCGTTCCTTCTGATTTTCGTTCCATTTCGTGAAAACATTTTGTCATTGGATAACCTCATACTAATTGAGGACCAAAGACGTAATTCATCGAAAACGTTTAGCGATACTGCGAATTCCCAAGATATGGCTATGCAAGATATCAGATCGGGTTTCAAATCTTGATCTCTCGAATATTTCTGTTGATCTAGCCTAATCCCAAGAGCCAGGCGATGCGCCCACATGAAGCTTGACTAAGAGAATATATCATCTTGAAGAAAATTTGGAAGAAAGGAACAGTGCCCCTAGATTTGGGCAATTGAATTTATCCGATAGGAATAGGAAAGAGCTGTCTCAAGCTCAACATTTAGTTCACGTTACCATTACGCTGATGTTACATGAGAAATAATATTACACAAAGATTAGTTCGTTGTGTGGTATCTTTTTAAGATACCGAAAGCAACCATAGTAGTAGTACATAAATGATTACAGTTTAAGAAATTTTGCCAAAAGTCTCATCTCTCATGTTGACGCCAATACGTGCCTGAAGCAATAGGATATTTTGCCAATGCCGAAATGGCAAAGCTCATGAACACCCCGTCCAAACGCCATTCGTAGCCTAGGTATCCTTGCTCACCATTCCAAATATCGTAACGCACAAATTCACACCCATGAAGCTAGCATACAGACCACTTTCTATTCATCTTCACCCTCTGCATCCACATCCTCTGCTGCGCCCAGAATCGTGTTCGCTTCAAGATTTGGGTCTATGTTGGCATCCTGATCAAGATCCGCGTTACGATCAACTTCACTTCCATCAACTGGTACATCAGCCATTTCTTGATCGCCTTCCGCATCAACAAGAGGGCTTTTGCCTTTTCCTATTCCCGCCCCTTTGCCTTTACCCAGGAGAATAGGCTTGCCTAGTCCGACACCCTTGCGTGACAAATCTCTATCTCGTCTCGATCTCGGCGCGGGAGTATCATAGATTGCCGACTCATCGAGGTCACTTCTTGTCTCTTCATTCTCTTCCTCTTCGTCGCCAAGCAACACCTCATTTCCCAGCTTACTGCGCTGTTTTAGTAATCTAGGCGGCAAACCAGGACCACTCTCCGCATTCCCAAAATCGCTCTTCTTAGTTCCTTTTGGCCATCTACCGGGTCCACGCCCTGTACCTCCGCTCTTTCTACGCGCTGCAGTCCGCGCCTTCGAAGCAGATGCAGATGTAGTGGATGCACGTCGAATGGGTACCCCAACCGCTCTTCGAGATTTGGGTCGAGCAGATGAAGAGGTTGATAGTCTTACACGTGAAGATGGTCGCGCTAAGGTTGGGCGTGGGATAGTTCGACTTCGAGCACCAGGCAAGGGAGGAAATACTACAAATCTTATAGCCGGGATTGAGGAGGCAAGGTCATAGTATGACTTTTTGGTTATACCATTGAGCTTTTGCGTCATCGCCGACTTTCCAACACTGCCTTCTGAGCTTGCAACTCTAATGATGTCACTAGCCCCGGTGTTCATTTTGCCTAATGATGCTGTCATTTCTTCTGTATCACCATTTGTAAGACCGTTCAAAGATGTGCCTTTGACACTTTCATTAGATATGCCTTCGACACTGGGTACTTCGTCTTCGTCCTCCTCGCGCGGTGCAACCGTGTTAAGTGGCGGTGCATGATCATAAGCAGAAGCATTACCTCTACCCATAACGAAAGGCGTCCAGACCAATCCTTTAGGATTGAGTTTAGCGTATCCTTTTGCTTCATGATGGCGAATAACCTCCTTGTAGTAATCTGGCTTTAACTTCATAGCATAGGTGCCAGTTGTCGGATCGCGAACAAGGGTGCCCATGGCATCAAGACCCGAAATAACATCATCTGGTGTTAAACCCATTTCATCGGAAATGGCCTTGATACTTGGAACACGTTCAGAGGGCTGAAATCTTTGTAAATAATAACATAGAACGAGTCGCCAGTAATTACGATAAGAGACTAGACCCATGTCCGAAAGTGGCTTCTCAGGAGAGCCAGTCTTCTTCTCAACACGAGTGAGAAGATACGAAAAGTCGATGAGCAAGTGACCATATCCCTTCCGTTGATGAATAGGCAGTACGAGGATACATGAGACATTGTTGAGGCTGCTAGGTCGCTTCTCCTTCGAAAAGTAACCCACGAAGTGACAGCCCAATTCGTCATATTCCGTCATGACATAAAAAAGGAAAGGCTCAACATCATAGTAAAGAGTTTTCGATCCGAGAAAGAGTTTTGCAAGGAGACAAAGATTTTGGCAGTACAATGGGTTCTTGCGGCCATCCACTTCAAAAATCATGATCTTTCCATCTCGGTAAATTTCGTCGCCAGGAGGGTGCTTCCATGGACATTTCGTCTTATGCCTCCAAGCAACAATATCGGATTCCATGTACTTCAAACAGAACTCACATATGAAAAGTGCCTTGTTCCGGCTATATTCTTCTGGATATGGAGCAGCATACCAAATATCGATCTGATATGCCCCAAAATCAATATATTCAATTTGGCTGGCTGGACCTGACACCTTGCGTGCCTTTCTCAATCCTGCCTTGGCAGCAGCTTCTGCCGCTGCCGCAGCCCTTGCTTTCCAATCCTCTTCAGCCGTTTGACGAGCATCTTCAAATTGACGTCGATGCTCTGCTCTAGGTAGTGTCAAAGATGTATCAGCATCAGCTTCGGAAAGAATACCACCATAAGGTTTGGATTTCAGCTCTTCCAATTCTTTGTCGTGAATGGAAGGGTAGAAAGGTTGTGAGTAACTCGAGGGGACGAGGGCAGCAGAAATCGCTGCGGATCGAGCTTTTGAGACGCCACGACCGCCGCGTTTCTTTTTTGGTTTAGGGGGTAATGAGAGGATATGCCTCAACTCCATAGGATCGACGCGAAAGGAGATTTTGAGAGTGCCAGGCATTTTCTCGACAATAGTGACTGGTGGACTTAGAGATGAAGAAGTCTTTTGACGTAATGATCTTGGAACACGCGGGCTTGTGGGTGTACCCACTCTCTTCTTATTCCTTTTGCCGTTAGTCAATGATAAGTTGCTACCGTTGTCGACTTTGGCTTCATCATGTGGTTCGTCAAATGATGGTTTAGAATTATCGGAAAGTGCATCTCGATCACGGGTCCTTTTTCTCAAAACCAGTCCCTCATCAGCCTCCACGGATGAAGTTTTTCTCTTGCGCAACAAACGTGAGCCATCCATGGGATCTTCTGGTGGTATGAGTTGTTCGAAGACGGAGTGTGAATCTGATTTGATTGTACCACGTCTTGGCGGTAATAAATCCCCTGGAACTCTGTCCCTTGAGATTCTCCTTTCGTTCGCTTTGATTGGCGCGTCTTCACCGTCTACCTCTTCGTCACCTTCCTCCGCATCTTCTTCCTCCAGGCCTTCAAGCATATTGATATCTGCACTTGGACTCCCGGGCACGAGACTGTTTTCGTGACATCCCGGACAATACCATTTTTCCGCCTCTGGAGTTCCATTTTAGCTGCATTACCTAATTCTGTATCGCGGAACAGTACATACCTTCGTCAGACTTGAGTGCATTCGAATTTCGGGCGCATTGCCGATGCGCTAGAGCTTTGTCAGCCTTACCGATCATAAATACTGGGTCAACTTACCATTGTCTCCACACATCTCACATGCCAAATAAAGTTCGAATTCTTCACTTGGATCATCGTCCTCATCTTGCTCGCAGAATCTAAGAAGGTGTGAGTAAATTCAAGATTGTAAGTGGAGGAAAAGAAGGAAAACATACATGCAGCGATTCGGATTTACGTGTTCTTCCTCTTCCTCTTCTTCTTCTTCCCCATTAGATTGCCATCTTGTTTCTTCCCTGACATCACTAGAGTCCTTAGATTCGTCATCGTCTTCTTCAATTTCCACGGAGCTGTCGCTATCGGAACCACTCTCTGCGTCTTCATCATCGTCATCCTCTAAGCCAGGCTGAATTTTGACAGCGCCGACTCCCTCCGCATCGTCGTCATCCTCATCTCCTTCACCCAGCTCTAGGTTCTCATCTACCTCTTCTTCCTCAGTATGATCCATATTTTCTGGCTCGTCGAGCATTTCATCGTCCTCCTCTCCGTCTGCATCTTCATCTGTTAACATATCCTCTTCTCCTTCCGGTCCCTCTCTGGCATCCTCCAGATCGCTGTGATTTCCGATCAACCCATTTTGTAATTGAATGTTAGCAGCATATGCATTCGCGTCCTCATTGATTATATCGGGAACCATGTCGTCATCCTCTTCGAAATCAGCATCATCTTCAGAAGTGGCTAAGCTACGGGAAGGCTCCCCATCCATGAGCACCACTGCTGCTGCCGCTCCCGCCATTCTTTATGAATTGGTTTTCATGCGCGATGTAGATATATTGGCACGAGAGGAATATTTATCGATGTCGAGAATATAGGAGAATGTGGCCTAGGCGGTTGGATAGCCTTTGCAATCGTTGCTTCTGCGCCCCGCCGGATAACTAAGTAAAGGATGAAACAGTATTCGATTTTTGTCGCCGATTCAATTTATTAGATGCCAAAGGACATACTATACCAGCCAGATTAACGTAACTCATGCGCAGCTTGCCCAGATAATTGTTGGATGAATTGTTGGATGAATTGTTGTAATTTAGGTATTTAGTAATGCAGTTCGAAGAAGTGAACGCGATGTTTTAAACCAATTCCATCGAAAGACAATTATGAGAGCCTCAAATATGTATGTATATGACCTTCCGACGCGTGGATCAAGCTCGATTTGAATTGATAATCATGTGTGGTGTTGTTATTGCGTTCTCAAGGGTTATGAATACCCCAAAGTCGTCGTTCGGGCGGCTTGTGAAGTCTTAGTCATCATTTCACTTCAGTTTGGCGCAAACTAACGTCGTCAATCAATTCCGAGGCTCCTCAAAAGCCTTATCACTCCAATTGAGAAGCCAACAACAGATACAAGGTACGTGCTATTTTATTTGCGAGGCTATATGAATGTTACAATACTAATTTTGAATCAATAGATAATTACGAAATTGCCACGATGGGTGTCCCTTTCGAAGCTCTCCTTCCATATGGAATCATGCTTGCCGTTCGTACCTCTACCATTTCCACAACCCTTCAACCCTTCCACTACAAAGATTACAATACTGAGTACTGCGCAGATGTTCGGCATTACTGGTGCTGGAATGTCTGGAGTTAGAGCTTTGCAAAATGGTGGAAAGAGAGCCAGACATTCTGTAGATGCCTGGGACAGAGTGAGTATCCCTAATTCTTGACCTTACATTGATGAAGGAAACTGATCGTTCATGCAGCAAAGTAACCTCTATCCTCGGGACTCTGCACTCTTATGTATGATACTGACTGCGATGTAGTGATGGACCGTGATAGAAGGTTGACCGGATTCCTTCGAGGGCAAACCGACAACCCAAGTGCTCCTCTGGGATTCGAGTTGAATAACCCATGGAGAGTAAGTTTATTTTATTGGCCTTCATAGAGTCTTCTTCACGGATGTTTCACTTATACTAACGTCAACTCAACAGCTCGAGAAGAGATTCATCTAGAGACTTTAGTTCAACCACTGTACATACCCCAAACGAATTCAAACAAGTCACAAAATTTTATGATATTCATGCCTACAAAAGGCTTTGGATGGCCTGGTCCAGAGATGACTCTGTAAATCGAATCATTTTGCTGACTACAAGACTCTATCTCTCGACTCAAACTGCGTTTATGATATTAGACAAATTGCTTGTTTAACAAAATGACTTCTGTATGTTGCCCGAAGACTGCGATAATCAAAATTTCTCGCCTCTACCCCTCTCGTTAAATCAAATTAATTATATTGAACGTTGTGTTTCCCTTCATCACATTGAATTTTTGCCATGGCACTATGTCAATTCGAGTCCAACAGTGGATGTACATAACCAATTCCCAATTTTCAAAGATCATAATGTGTGTTCCAACCTGCTGCCTGTACTGGGTTCATTTAAATTGTGTACTCTGATTGCTTGGCCTGCATTCATTGTTTTCATCATTTCTTGCGGTGTATAAATGATTGTTGCAACTATGTGGCTATGTGCAATGTTGGAGCTTTCTGTGAGTCCGTATGTCCACTTGCGATGCTCGGAAAGTATCGTCCTTAGATATTCATCCTTCCAGTACCCATCTTACAAGGGGTTATGTAAATGTTCTCTCTTCTTCCTGGAAGAAACCAGAATCCACGACGATATTGTGTTGTGAATTTCATATACTTCTGCTACATTATCCTAGCACACGGCTTCCAGAGGATTTCTAGCTCCACCCCATTAGCATATTATATCGAATGACCCGAAATGTATAGTATTGTACACCCCTCCATATCGATCGTCAGAATCTATTCAACATCGTGAGTTTCGAAACTAGGCTGTACATCCTGAGGTCTGTGTTTATGGCCTGCTTTACAAGCTAATATTTTCTCTGCATTTCCTAATATCGATAATCCAGTCTCCAGATAGCAACATGCCTCATAGATAGCTTTGATTGGAACGACTAATGGTGTCGGTTCAGACAAAAAAATACTTTGGCACCTCAAGATCCTCGAAATCCAGATGGCTTTCACATGCGTATCACAAGCAAGATCGATGCCCGATAATATTGTACCCGCCCATGCATCTCGTCGTTCTAGATCACATAAGGTAGTCTTGGTGTTAATATTCCACATCGCATAAAATGCCGATCGACGTTTTTAAGTGCATACTTATTCCATCCATGTGCATTCAAAAGCTTTCATTTGATATGGATGGCGACAACAGTTTGATCCCTATATTTTCCGCAAGACAACGATCACATTGCGGCCCCTCAATTTCGCCGGTTTGACGCCATGGGCCCAGTTTTAAGAGATAATGATATGTATGATAATTGGTCATAGAAGGACTGGGCACTCTCTGCCTTGTTCAAAACCTTAACTGCTTCCATAATCTATTTAAAAACTCCTTGCGCTGACGACCACCATGTAACAGGTAGGAGTAGAATGTTTGAAAATAGAGGACTTCCTTCCCCCTCCCCTCCACCCGATTCGGGTCCTCCGTACAATCAAATAAGCTAGCAGTGCTATCACTTTCCTCCTTTCTCCATAAATTAGAGTTAAATTCATGCAACCTTAAACGGGGAATAACAGTGAATAACAGTGCAGTGCCACATTGATACCGCGTAGAATGCCACTCTGCCAGGAAATTAAATGGGTAGATATGTTTAACAAATAAAGTTCGTTCTTCAATCATGGAAAACTGTTAATGAGTTGGACTTCGCGAGGTGGCTTTGGATAAGGGGGTTTCAATCCCTCTGTAGACCATGGGGAATTTTGTTGCTGCGAGAAAATCGGCGCTTGGCTTGTGCATCGCCAGTGAGTATTTGAGGAATTCAAAGTACTGTGTTGGCTATTCTAGACAGTCGTAGCATATTGTGAATGCGGATTCTAACTAGCCAGTACTTTTTTGTATCGTTTTTGTTCATCTTACTCAGAACATCCACCCACTTCAACAACACATCAAAGTATGCTTTCTACAAAAAAAAAGGAATACAACGAGACCCGATCACGGAGGATGATTTGCTGTCATATTCAGATAACAACATCCACAAGATTTTGGGCGCATATGCTCATGAGAGAAGTTTTTTGATCACATCGCAAGCATTATGCGTCCTTCACTAGGTGGATCACTACAGCAGCTAAGTCAACTTTCCTCTTCGATCTTATTTGGAGTATTGTTCGAAATTTAATGATCATACAGGAATTCTTACTTCAAAGATCCCGTCGATCAAAAGGCTTCAAATACGCAGTACTTCGCCACCAATTCCATTTTTACATGCAGGAGCGTGAAGAAGTGATAATTGCCAATGACAAAGATAAAGAGAAAATGAAATTGGTGCTTGAAGGATAAATCCCCGTTTCGAATGCGTGCTATTCAAATATGAAGGGGTGATTGGAAGGGGGAATAGATAGTGAAGACCTACTCCGGGCCGGTGACCTAAATCTGGGCGTTCAAAGTAGTGGGAAATTTTGAACGGTTTGAAGTTTTGAATGATATGAATGATTAAACTGATTTGATTGAATTTAATGAACTTCGGATATAAAAAGGCTTCTTAGACTGCTAGAACCCTGAAAATAGACCAGTGCCGTCGGTCTTCACATTGATGATAAGAAATCCACTCCAGATCCACATCAGCCCCAAACGTTTGTATCCATCCAATCTAGGACTAAACTTCGAAGTTCAGGCTGAGCTATTCCTCTGTGCGAAGATTCAGAATGGAGACCCTCGGGAAGGGTCGATCACCCGTTCTTATTTGCAACAGTAGTACATATGATCCATAGAATCTATTCCCAAGTACCATGAAGATGAAGATTTTCAGACCAAAGAATCATTCTTCGTCATGAAAAACCGAAAAAGAGGTATCGGCGCAACTTCGTCAATTCATCAACTTGAGTTTCTTGGCTTCCGAAGGCTGCATGATGATATTGTGAGATAAATGTCACCAGTCGACGTTCGGGGCCGACAAAGATGTATATTCTCTCACTAGAGAGCTTGGCTACATACATATATGCAATATTCGAATGAATACGACCATAATGATGACGTTGGTGTGTGATAAGGTATTTTTCAACCGTAATGAAAATCTTCAAAGATCCCAATCTTCACATGAAGTGAAGTGTGGATATGTCTCAGACACACACTAGCTACTTCTGGTTAGATTCCGCGACTCAAATGCCCACTTAAGAGCCACTCTATTTTAAATGCCGGAATAAATTATCTGCACCAGCTGTGTATGTGCAACAATCAACATTCATCTCATCTCTCTGGGCAACTCTGGGCGGGAGCTTGGCTTCATGTGTTATCGAGCAATGCACGATCTACCGGTAGTCTATTTTAGCTCCGTCGGTCCATTACCGGATCTGTTTCCGGGCCCATGCTTCTTCTTGGCAATTCTTTGAACTAACGCCCAACATGTCTTGAGGCTACTCAGAGGTTGGAGATAATGTTGATCAATAACCTTTTTGCCTCTTGTCGATCCCCTCTTATACGACAGTTACGACATACACTCTTCCAGAGAGAAATTTCACTGTCGAAGTGTATTCTATTCTCCGGACCATATGTAGATTTGTATAATACACTTACTTCAGTTGTTTTTTGCTGTGTCTTTCGCTGTTCGGTGCAACATGATGTGCTCGAGGCACATATTACCAAGCTTGGCTCTTCCCGTCCTTTGACGCATTGGCTATGATGAAGGAAGAAGAAATACTTTAACTTTGCCAGTTCGTCTTCTGTTTCCTTGTTGCCAATCACGTTTGAGAGTTCTTGAGGCAAGGAATTGAAAATTGTTATATGTTCTCCACCTGCGAGTCTGATTCAATAATTTGGCATTGTACCTTGTGCGCAGGGCCGTGTTCTTCTGCCAAGCGGCTCAGTCCGCTGTTGTATGTCCATACCTGCCCAATCAGGATTGCTCTTCTCGTTCTGTGTGGACTTCTCGAACCCCTTTTAGTGTGGATGGCGAACTACTCCTCGAACTCTGGGCACACTGCATTAAACATGTATCTTATCTTTTAGATTATCAGATACTTCATTGTTTCATGCCAACTTCCAAACAAAATCTTAACTCAACCGTAACAGGAGATGGATCAACGGTTAGCACAAGGTTTCGATTCATTCTCATCTTTTTTCCTTCTCACCTGTCTCCACCAGTGCTTCATTATCCTCAAGGCTGTGCCATCAAGTGGGCTGCGAGGATACACCTTTGCATGCTTGATGTGATAGATGACTGTGCGCAATCACCTTCAGTCCCCCAGGCGATCCACAGCTCTCCTAGAGATGAGTATTAAACACGGAGAAAGACCCTTCTACCTAGGTTTGCTCGACTCATTGTGTTCCTTCAACCCATCTCTTCTAAACATTAGCTTTTTGACGAGCTGTATCTTTGTTTCTCCAATTGCAGCCTAGGTCTAGAATATGGATTCAGTCAACCCCAGCCCTGTCATCGATGGCAAGCCTTCATCGTCTTTCAATCAATCACACGGAGTTCTAGAGCAGTCACAAAATTTGAGCTCTCAACATGAAGGCTTGAATACTTCAAGCCAGCGAGGAGATAAAGCCACAAATGCATCCCTCGAGAGCCGACCCAATGGCATTTTTATCATAGAGCCCAATCACCCAAGAACTCGAGATTCCTCTGAAGGCGACATAGAAAGATCTGTTGAATTCTTCGACGACAAAGAACGTCTAGATAGTAGTGCCGTCACATCGTCCGCCAATAGTGTATATGTCGTGAAGCAAGAGTTAGAACAGCCGCCCTATCACATCTTTTCCATGGCAAAGAAAAGACAGCTTGTGTATATAGTATCTCTTGCAGGCTTGTTCTCTCCCTTATCAAGCAACATCTATTTTCCAGCCTTAAAGGAGATTTCCACCGTATGTACACGGTCTATACCATGATTTTGTACCATCTTAGTCTAACAGCATCTAGGATTTTAATGTTTCTCTTTCACTTGTCAGTCTAACTGTAACGGTTTATATGATTGTTCAAGGACTTG